CTTTCTCTCAATTAGAGAAAAATTTTATTTCAAAAGATTTTTAATCCACATGTAGATAAAAATGTCCCCTTTTAAAGCCTTAAAATAAGAAAATCAATTCTTTTAAACATTTTTTTTAACAACAAAACAAGTTAACCTTTCAAAAATTAACAAAACAAGCATACTGTCCACAAAAAAATTTTCTCTATTTTCTTCATATTAAAAAAAAAAATACTTTCCAACCATTTAAACAAACTATATTATAGTTCATGGATGACTATTTACCGGATATTCCCCTGGAGGGACCAGCACACCCGGATCTAGATCCTAATGGTCCTCTACAATTCAACTTCCCTGCACAAAACCTAGACCCCGCCCCTGCGGAATTACCGGAAGTGGATGCGGAATTACCGGAAGTGGATTTACCACAAATTTCAATCCCTGATACTAACCAAGAGTTCAATATCAATAATGACCCTAACCTATGTCTAGACTTCACCCCAGTTGAACTTGAATTAATGCTCCGATCAGACACCGAAACTGTCCAACAGTTTTACGACCAAGTAGCTCAGTCACAAGTAGAATATGATAATGCCCACCATCAACCATTTACAGACGAGGCAACTACCCCCACCGTTATATCTCCTAAACCTAATACCCTAATTGAGTTGACCCTACCAATTTTTGCCGGCGACACTGCAGTGTATGAACAGAAAAGATTATTAAATCTAGAGATAAAACATATATCAGACGAATATAAGCACACTCACTCCCACTACTTCCTTAACCATAAAAACAAAACAAGATGCTCAGTCTGCAACTATGATGCACTGAACCTAATCAGACACCAAGCTATGGGCCCCTTTGCCCCACAACATCCATTCTCTACCTTGGATAAAAACCTCCAGATTGAAGTACTACTACATTCAACACTAAAATATAAGGAAAAAACATTAGTAGGCGCGTATGACGCCTCCGTGAAAATAGACATATACAACCAAACGATGATTTCACCATGCAACCATTCAAAGACTCACTGCATCAGCCAAAACCGTACCAGCTGTCTTATCTTTTGCGATCAACAGCTTCTCACCGATTTTTGTCTGCGGAGAACATTCATCAATCTTCCCTTCCTTACTGTCCTTAGCACTGCATCACATAACCTGCAAACACATCCATCACACACACGTATGTAGAATGTGTGGAGCCATCCAGAATACATCTTTTCTCCAACACTACCAGACAGTCCACAACAGACATCTACTACCTAGCTACCCCCTACCCAACATTCCAGCCCTACACGATATCTACGATTTTCAAACAGAAAATTGTAAAAATCATACTGCTAAGCAAATAGAGTTATGCAAACTAAACACAGCTCAGCAAGCTTCCCTGATACATTCAAGAAAAGGAATGAAACTCAACAACACGGTGCAAGATCTCTTTAGTTCATTCCCATCCAAAGTTACAGCAAACTACATAAGACTAAAAGAACTCTACTTGCAGTTCCCTGGATATTCGAGATACTTGTGTGCTAGTGATCCTTTCCCTCTCAATATTATAAGCCTGCTAAAAGCGGTCAGTCACTCTGCTGTCATAGTAGCAGCCTTAGAAGAGGTCACCAGGTTAACAGAAAACCGACCCCCATGGGAAGGCGTTTCCACATTCCTAAAGACAGGTAAACTAGAGCTACTACAACTACTATACCTAGCTCGTATCAGACACCTCTTTCATAAGGCAGAAAAAATACCAGACATTAATCAATGGAAAACAGGAACATCGTCAGTACAGCTACTCCAGCTTACGGGACCTTCAATCTTTGCTGAAAATCCTTATCGCCTCAAAGAAATGGACCTCACTGCATATACAGCCATCACATGTGGATCCAAACTACTCCTGAAGTCAGGGATCACAACCATGGAAAGATATAAGTTCTTAAATCTATCGCCAACAAAGAAAACCTTCCTATGTACCTCAGGTTTCACCAATATAGGGTTCTATCCTAGTTTAACCCACTCAATACCAGTGTTACCTGACAACGCATTCATCAATCAGGTTTCAAAGATAGCGGAAACTACTAAAACACTGCCAATCATTGTGGAGTTTAATATCCAAGAGAACCTAAGCACTATACCAGCAGACAAATGGAAATCCTACCTAACTGATCATCAAGAATCATACTGTTTAGGTTTCTGCTTACAGATACTACATGTAAAAACAAAGACAAGGCCCTTAGCAGCGGAGAACCGAACATTCATAATAATTGGACAGTCTACTTTATACCACCAAGACTTGGATTTACGATCTCTCGTAGATCTAACAGACATTATCAACATGAACCTCCAGACCGCTGCTCTCACATTCAGACTACCGCTGATATTGCCATCAGCATTAGTAGGTTTTAGTGGCGACATATCCATACCCCTTATCAGCTGCCCCAAACAAGCAACTTTTACTCCAGAGGGTCAAATGTCAGACTATAGCCACCATCAGGGTTTAAGACTCCTCTTCACCATTATCGACAGCCTTAAAATGATAGATGACGTGCAACTTATGCCCTCCTTCCGGGCACACATGGTAAAGGACCCAATTATTTAATTAATCCCAAAATTAATAAAAATAAAACCTGATAAAATAAAAACAGTCAAATTATAAATTAATCATTGTACCATTTTACTAACCTTCCTTTTATTTAGGCACAGGAGCATTCATAATTCTGTTCCTCTCCTCATACTGCTGGTCGTCAAACCTCCAACCATTCTACAAGGAAAAGCCATTAATATTAAATAGAGAATATCATCAAGTCAATATAGACATTTTTTTAAAAGTAGCAAACATCCAAATCTTTGCCACTGACACTTTTAATAACAATATTAAAAAATTCTTAACACCAGGTCAAAATCCTACACCAGATGTGACTTTACAAATAAAAACAATCACAGATCTATATACACTTTTATCAAATACATTAGATATTAGACAAAAATATACAAATCCAAAAATTCAAAAACAAGAAAACAAATGCGAAAATTTAATGGAAATATTTAGGGATGCAACTGCATCCTATTTAGTGAATGAGATTGAAATTTTGTCTAAAGATCTATACCCTGCATCTCAGGATATCTCGGATATTAGCAAATCTCAACGGACATCAAGCATTCTTATGCAGGTAATACTTAATTTAAACGAAATTATCTCTCATGTACAACATGAGACTACAGAATTAGAAAACTATTCAAATTACAGGACAACAGACAACACCCTTCTAGCAATACAAAATTCGTCATGCATTGAAAAAACATTAATGGAAAGTATCTCAGTTATTGGATTTTTACCAACAGCAACAGGTTTAAGCGTTTCCCTTACTATCAATCAATTCGAAAGCTCAGAAAACACTTTCAGCATAGTCTCCACCTCATACTTTGGCAGAGAACTTGATATATCAAACACATATCTTATAAATGAAAACCTGTTCAAATGCAAATGTCTATTTTCACACCAACAAATATTAACAGGATGTGATTGCACACCCTTCAATGACAAGTGTGCCACCGCCCTTACGGAAAATAATATCAAAAAATTTATAAAACTTTGCCCATTTATTGAAAGCCAACACTCCATACCAAAACTCACACACACGGGTGTATTATTTCCATTCTTTACACCGTTTACTGTAACTGACTCAAATCTTAACAATAAATTACCACAACAACAAACAAATCTGCCATTCCATGTCACAACCGGGAACCCAATTAAGATAGCATTTCAACAACAAACGTTAGTACTTCAAGCAAATACAAAACCAGACCTTGAAAACATTGACCTTTTAAACCTAAATGATGAGGAATTACGAATATTAGAGGAAAACTTTGTCCCTGTACCATGGGAAAACATTGTTAATTACATATCTTGGTCCGTTGGGGGTACATTTGGAATACTACTAATCCCCTTCCTCTTCTGTATTTGCAAATATAATAAAAAATTTAAAAACGTTAACACTCCTCATAACAGACGAAAAAGCGTACACTTAAAATTAAATCCCTTAATTTTTGTTTTATTTTAGATTCTGCTACAAGATGCAACTACAGCTACAAACCAAAAAGTTTTTTTTTCTTGAATGTATTAACATTCTATTGTAAATATATTTTTTTCAACAAATATGTAGTTATATTTTATGTTCGGTATTAAAGTAAATCAAAATTTATTCAATCTCTAAGTTTCGTCTTGTTAATCCTAACCAACGTGAAATTAAAAATTCTCATTAACTAAATACACAGTCACATAACTATAATCGGGAGTAAAATCAGAATTTAAGAAGTGCTTACATTTACTTAAATATCATTAGCATTTTTGTCAAAAAGCATAGAAAATATTTGGACAAACAGTCTTAACTAAAACAAACACCGTAAAAGGATTAGTATACCATTATCTTCTCACTCAAAATTTAAAACCTTTCATTTAACACCAGTAAAACCTTACACATTAATTCAAATTTAATTTACACTGACACCCTATACCCCGGATCCAACTAACTTCACAGTTTCTCTTAAAATCAAGGATCAATCAGAATTGAAAAGATCCCCAGCTAAAAATATCATTTTTGTCATAAGTCCAGATCAAGAAAAATTTTACCAATTTTATTAATTTAGACCAAATCAAATTACATGAATTCAGACCTTTTATGAACATTTAGGAATATACCAAACCAAAATCTTTTCAAATCTTTCCTGTTTTTCATCTTTGCCACAGAAATTCTTTTTCGCAAAAGCAAATAAACCATAATTGGCACACTTCAAAATATAAACAAAAAATTCTAAATTAAACTCTTACAACGTCTTCTATATTACAAATAAAATGTATATTCCAACTCGTACACAAAGGCGTGCAATGTCAATTGCGAACCTATATATTACCTTCAATTAATCCAGATTCAAATTAAGATCAAATTACAACGCTAAATTAGCCAATATCCTTCTTCCGGTTTTAATTATACATAGGAAGTCTCAATCCTCTGAAAATAACATAAACAGATACAAATAAACTCAAATCTTCAAACGTATTTATTTTTCTTCCACTTTTGATTATTTACACAATTGTTTTCTCCTTACTTATTTGGGAAAACTTTCAGAACTGAAATATACATATTTTCCCAAAACGAAGAAAACTTATTTTACAAAAATATTTGTAATTATTCCAAAAAAAAATTTATAAATTCTCCAAAGTCACGGTGTTCAAACTTAAAATAACAAACATCTCAAAGAAAACATATAAACTTAGACCGTAGCCTAAGACCGTGAACAAAACTAAACTTAGACCGTAGCCTAAGACCGTGAACAAAACAAAACTTAGACCGTAGCCTAAGACCGTGAACAAAACAAAACTTAGACCGTAGCCTAAAACCGTGAACAAAACAAAACTTAGACCTTAGCCTAAGACCATGAACAAGATTAACAAATCGTATCATAATAAATCAAGTGATATAATTATATCACTACCGAGTTATCTCATTCATAATATATCAAAATTCAAGAATTGAACAAAAGAAAAGCAAAAAATATTCTTTTTAAACAAATCAACAACCCTCCTACTCCCACAAAAAAATAAAGAAAGACTAAAACTCATCCATTATCAAAAACTATGTTTAATCCCATAAAACCCGCCTTTAAGCATAGACTATCAAAGAAAAGATACACTATTAAATTATGAATAAGATAACTGCCCTTAGGATACTTCTTTGTTGGAATATGGGTCCTTTTGGGACGAATATTGGCGGGCGGAGTACGCTGGACATTGCCTCCGCCACGGAAAGGAAAACCGACCTCATCTCCTACCCTCGCAGCCTCGACCTGTCGCGCAAAAGCCTAAAAACAATACTTATTACAGGTTAGGAGATAAAACAAACTATAAATCGAACATCAATCCATTTTCAATTTTGTCCATTATTGTTAACTTTCTAATCAATCAAATTTTACCTCAAAAGGACTAGATCCTTCGCTAACACAGGAACCTTCCGCGGACTGCGGAAACGGAGTCTTTCTGTATTCTTTATTGCGTGTTACAGGAGTTCCCTCATCACAACCAGCTGATGCAGTTTTATCCCCGAGATCATTCTCCTTCTCCGGTCCAATCTGTTCTTGTTCCCCAATACTCTCTGCAGCTCCAGCAGCTTCGATACTATCACCAGTCTCCTTCTCTCGACCAACTGGTACACATCCAATCTCCGTGACTCCCTGATCCCGCACCTCCAGCACAGGAGCATTGACATCCTCGTAAATAGTATTAGGTTCAACTCCGCTTTTACCCTTCTCGGGCACAGGTAATACTTCAGCCCTTACACTTAGTGCAGTACCACCCAGGTCTCTTGGAAGACCACCTTGATCATCATTTAGACCCCTTACATCAGGGACCTCAGGATAAACTCTCCCTGGCAACAAAGGCCTCTCCATTGGAACATGAGGTCCAACGGCACCAGGAAAACCCCAGGGTGGCACATACGGCGGTAAAAATCCGGGCGGTGGGTAGCTCGAAAACGTGGAAAACACGGGGGCAGGCCCAACAGGCAAAGGAACAGTAGGTACGCATTCCTCAGCTGAAGGAGGCGACTGAACCTCATTACTTCCATCTTGAGGCAAATTATCAACCTTGGGTGGTAGCTTCCTCATGAGCAACTTCTTTTTAACACCGCCCCGCGTTTCAACAGATTCAACGACGACCTAAAAACAACACACTAAATACTTCACAAACACATGATAATTCATACAACAGTTTTAAACAAACACCAAAAAAATAACATGACTCCAGATACCAAAAGAAAAATTATTAAAAACTTCTTTTCATTCCCATTCACTCAAAGTACTACTATAAAACAGACCAATATTTTTAGGAAATATTTTTACCTCACCAGACCGTCCACGACAAGCCTTACAAGTAACACAACACAGAACTGCTCTAAAACATCCCTAAAAACGAGCAAATTAAAAATTTTATTTCACAATCAGTTCAAAATATCAAAGCCCAGTAACATTTTTGCAAAAACAAACGCTGAAAATACTTATTTTAATCTATTCATACTTGTATAAATCAAAACACACTTTAAAAACACATATTCTTTCGTCTCAACACTTACAACTCAATAAAGAATCACTCCATCTTTAAACATAGTATTAGAATATATAAACTTTATTAAAATAAAGATATATACAAAAAGAATCAATCCCGACAATAATGATCCACCATGTAGCGAGTGATCTGGCTCTGTAGTCCTTCAAAATCTTGCTTAAGCCGGATCAACCTCATCAAACCCGTCAAAATACGACGCTCAATGTTAAGAGCATCGATATCGCCATATCCCACGTTCGAATTCATCGACTGCACATGCTGCAAATTATGACGATACATCGACCTCAGGAACTCAATAGTGTTCAGCTCATCAGCCAACATCGGAAGGATTCCAGGACTAGTATCCTGATCAGGAACCTTAAAGAAATCATTTACCCAATCCCTCAATCCCAAAAACCGCTGCCTCAGCTTATGGATGTCACCTTCTCGAACGAGCCTGGGGAAAGATGAAACAGAAACGATTCTTATATTACGGCCCTGCCTTAACCGAGCAGCACGGCCAAAATCCACACCTGGTCCCGCTCCGCCAATTGCGTCAGGTCGAATCGGGCTCTCTTTCTCTTGGCTTTTCGCTTCCTTTTCCCCTTCCTCCTCTTCCTCGTCATCTCCATCTCCGTCATCATCCCCATCTTCTTGATCATCACCGTCTTCCTCTCCTTCCCCATCTTCTACAACATGTCCCTCTGCTAGCTCAGCATTATTATCCTCCTCACAAGCATCGTCATCAGAGTCATCACTACTTGATGAAACAATATCGGAAGGGCTATCCATGCAATCACACAACACCCTTCCACAAGGACAACAATCTTCATCCATTTCTTCAGATTCAAGGAAAGCACCCGAGGCACTCTCTACGGCAAGCCTCTTCCTCTCGCTCTCCTCAAGCTTCTTCCTCTCCTCAGCAAGTTTCTTCCTCTCGCTCTCCTCAAGTTTCTCCCTCTCCTCAGCAAGTTTCTTCTTCTCGCTCTCCTCAAGTTTCTTTCTTTCTCTCTCCTCAGCAAACTTCTGCCTCAGCCGCAGAATAAATTCACACTCGGAACCGTCATCAGAAGAATCATCATCAGAAGTACTCATCCCACAATGGCAGGAAGTTTCAGCAAACCTACAGCTTCCGCAAACAAATTGGGAGGTCATCCTTTCCTCCTTAGCCTCAACACAACTGCTCCCCTCTCGTGTATCACGCGGTTCCTCATGAAACTCGTCACTCACGTCACTCACAGGTGCATACACCGTAACCAAACCAGGACTATCTATCTCGTCCACAGCACTAATAAGTTCGTCCATTCTTTCAGACATATCGTCAAATACTAACATACAAACCACCCAACGCTCACAAATTATACACATTCCAGGCCATATCAGAAACCCAATGGAGGATTAAAATTATCAGATTAAAATCTAAAATATTTACTGATCAAACTCAAACATTATCAAACCATCAAAAACATAAATACTCACTTTACAGGCAGGAACAAATCGGTTGTCCTTCATCACATCCAGCAAAACAGTTACCAAGTACTGGAAGCTAATGGTCCAACCACACCTAGAAAAGAAACAAACAAAATTATAATAAATCTAAAATCATCCATCAAACACATTCCTCAAAATCAGTGTAGGTTCAAAAGTATCAAATTACAACTATCATACCAAATATCAATTTCATCAAATATCCTCCACTACAATCTATCAATAACCAAAACAAATTTTGCGAAATATAAAAACCCAACTAAAACATTAATCACTCCTCATCTATGACAGAAATATTACATTAAAAATGTTTACCCCAACTAACAAAACCTTATCCAATAACATTCACAACTATAATTAAAAACCAAACCTCGACAACACAATATATTATAAATATCGAATATAATCCTACACAAATCCATAGATTAGAAACCGAACTACTTATTAACAAAACCAATACTAACCTCGCCATCACTTCCCACAGAACAAACAAGGACACTCCACAGACAAAGCCCGTAAGGACACCCAACAAGAACAAGAACACCGCCTGACCTCCATCCACATCCAAAAGAGGACAACCACTCTCCAAAGGGATAACAGCAGTCTAAATAAGAAACAAATATCAAAAAAAACCGCTCAAAATCTTAATTGAAATATCCTTCAAAAGTTTAGACAAATGGAATAACGAAAATAATGTGGCACCCTAGTTCCATCTACCCTTTAAAAGACCCATCACAATTAAACATACCTTGAGCGACACATACAAACAAATCAAACACAAATTCAACATACACCCCAAAATTAGCGCGGCATACAAAAAAAAATCACAACAAAGGGGTTACTAACTAGAATGAATCATGAAAAACAGTGGCATCTGAAATTCAATCTACTATTTCCCCTCTACCAAACTTATACCCACAAACATTTTGATGCTAAAATAAAAACATGGCGATAAAATAAATATTAAATCATTTTGCCATAGTTCAAGGCAGTACTAAATTCACTAAGTCATACTGTACTAAGGAAGAACCTGAAATCAAGTACACTAATTACAGGCCTTAGCTAATACAGTGCCATCAAAAGAATTACAGTACACCAAAAATGTTTTACCTTAAACAACAAGTGGGTCCCATTGTATCCCAGGAACTCCTCTTTAAAAACAGAATAAAAATCCGGCAGAGGGAACAACGATACTAAACTCGGCATTGTAAATCCCCCTCTGCAAATAAATAATAATTCACTACTTTCACAAAATCGCCTTGATCTATAATAAAATATTAAACGCACACTAAAACAAAAAATCTCAAAAAATATACACAATAAAACTGAAATTGCATCCACGAGGAATCGAGCGCGTGTAGAAATTTCTAGATTAAATGGCAGCCAGTCGAGTCGAGCGCTCACTACAACCGCCCATCATGCACCAGTGGAGGAATCTTCTTCAAAATATAACCTCAGAAAATCCATCGGCACCGACTGGACGATCAACTAAATAATAATACAGTAAATCATAACCAACACAATCAAAACATAAACCTTAACAACATTTTAAAGAAAAACAGCAAATTTTAAACACCAAACAAGATAAAAATAACAAAAATTGCACGTCAAAATAGAATCATTCCCTCCACTGCTCCGCGGCTTTCACAAACTCCCCCCAATAAGAAAGCGCTCACAAATAAACTATACAATTACAACTCCATCTAACGGGAGCTTCAAGCATTATTACTTGGTATAAGATTTCATTATTAAAAGGCTTCCTAACCACAACACCAGTTAAAAATTAATCAATGGAAACGCCGGACTTTTAAAATAATCAATATTCACCATTTAAAACGGACATTTCCAGATTCTCAGAGCGTCCAGTCCTTCGAGAACCTCCGAGTACAGAAGATGCTCCTAAATACATTTCATCGACCGAACCTCGCAATATCGGAGCTTCCTCATATCGTACAGACCTAACTCGGCGACGTCTCCAAACACCACAACAACCACTTCTACACTTCCAACCTAAAATAACGATCGTCATCACCCAGAGAGAACATGTCTCATTACCACCTCATTTAACTTACCCTGGAATACCTTGATGATTTCAAACATAAACCAAAATCCGAACAATATTAAACAGAACTGCATCCAAACATCTTTACCAAGAGCAACATACAAACCGGGACCCAGCTCCTTCGTATCCGGTGGTATAAACCCACCATCGAAATCATCAGTAGTGATCAAGGCCGAGCTGGTACTTGAAATAACAACAATATCTCCCTCATCAATTACACCAGAAGTTACCTCCTCATCATCAAGCGCAGGTAGTATCATTATCACTCTGTAAATACTTCCTTATTTTACAAAAATAACAACCATTTTTGATTCTAAATGCTTATAAAAAAAAACAAAAGTAATAATTATCACTCATTTCCCAATCATCAGTTTGCAAGAAAAAACATTTTAAAACAGAGGAAGGAAGCGTAGCTATTCTAGATAGCTGTTTCTAACAAACTGAAATAAAACCCCACTTGTACTTCCTTTCACCCCTAAAAGTCACGAGTGAGAAATAAGAAACCATTAAAATTTTAAAACTTCGATCTAATCTTATCTAAACAAACATAACACAACTCGATTCTTTAACACATGTAACACTATCATCTTTATAAAACAGTATACTTATTGTAAAACCCTTTCATGTATTATTTACAGGATGAACCATGTATCAGAATACTGGACCGACGTACTAACGATCCTTGGATCCCAAGAACTCACCATTACCAAACTTAAACCATACCTTTTATCCAGCCAGAGCTGTTCGCTCACGTTAAAGGCTAGGGGACCTGATAGTCTAAGAAATATCGTATTAAGGAACATACACGTGAACTTATGTTATAAAGTGAAATTAAACAAGTATGCTACCTTCTACGATTTCTCACGCGCAGAAAGTGTTATAAAAAGACTAGTGCTACCAAGTGTATTAAAACAAACATTATTGGGACACGCACAAAACTGTCCCATTCACGGACGAACAATATTTGAAAAGTCAAATACCTATAGAAACGGACGAGTCTACATCATCAAGAACAGCAAGTTAGATCAACTACTAGAGGAAGACAAAAGGGTCCACCTGATCGAATTTTATAGTTTTCTCTTTTTAGAGACAAGAGATGTATCTGAGACAAAGAGACAATCTAAGAAGAGAGATGGATTAGTGAAAATCCATCAGACGAACAGGATTCAAAGATATAAGTTTCCCACTCCAATATAAACTTATGTTTCTCTCCTCCAAATCCCTCGTTTTGATTATAATCTGTGAATTACAATTTGACTAAGTTAGAAAATAATCAATAACTACACTGGATGAACAATCAGAGGAGTAAAACAATTAATGTGAAAAACTTGAAACTTATAAGTCTTCTATAAATTCGCAAAAGAGTACATGTATGAATCATATGAATAAAGTGAGTACACAGCCCGGAGGGGAATATTCTGATAAGTTAATTCATGCGTGACAAAAAAAAGAAAATTGTGAACTTTAGAAGCTTTCTCTGGATCAACTTTGCTTGGTTTAAAATTTCATAGAAAAGAATATGGTTTCTCTCTGACCGGCACCCCCCCCCCTCTTCCTCCCTTCTTCTGGGTCTTCGATACAACTATAGAAGAGTACATCAATATAGTATGTATATAGAATGAGTACATAACCTCAGAAGGGAATATTCTAATATGTTAAACCATGCATGAGAGTTGTGAACCTCAGAAGTCTCTCGGGATCAGCGCTAGTCTGACGAAAACTTCATATTCCCCTAGATACAAAATCAACGGAGAAATATGGTTTCTTTCAGATCTACACCCCCCCCCCTCTCTCCATCTCCCTCCTACTTCCTTCTAAGTCTTCTATATAACCATGGAGGAGTACAGCTATATATATATTATATATATTGAGTACACAGTCTCAGGGGGAATATTCTAACATGTCAAGTCATGCATGTTAAAAAAATGAAAATACTGGAACTTCCGAAGTTTCCCCGAATTGCTGACAGACTGGGGAACTTTAATATTCCCCTAACAGAGCTGTACTCGATGTAATCCCTAGACTTAGTGAATATAAAATCCCTGAAATTCATCTGGATCAGAAAAGTTTGGTTGTACTTTAATATTCCCCTCAACCAGAATAGTTAGAACTTTAACATGTATGTTTTCCTTTAATTCTGTTTGTGATCTTTAATTTATTCCCCCTATTATCAATATGAAATTTTAGTATATTTAGAAGGGGAGTCTTTTCTCGAGTAAATTTTAATCTGCAACAAAATAAAATCAAAATATTCCCCTACATTATAATCTTATTTAACAGCAAAGTTATTATATCAAACTCATTCATTCCTAGGAGGAAGACGACTTTCTCTTCTTAACTAATATTCCCCCATAGTGTAAATATGATGATATTCCCCTCGTTGAAATTTGTATAAAAGAGCGCTTTTGACAGTATATGTTCAGTTCAGTCCAGGGCTTGATCCCATTTAGTTATACTTGACAAATAAGAAAGAATTCAAATGATAGGTAAGAAACTCAATTAATATTTAAGCACATATACTTCTCAAAAGCTCTCATTATAAACTTTGAAAACTCTTAAAACAATCTAATCAATAATCATTGTCTAATAAAATATAAATATCCTAAATAACTTGTAAATTGTCAGTAATAGTTCTGTTTGGTAAATAAAATATTTAAATTCCGACAAATCTGGTTTGTACTTTATTTCAAAATAAACTCAATAATTTTTCTAATCTTCATTTATAAGAGAGACTAAGAGAAGAACGGTGGAATAATTTATAATATCGCTATATTAGAATTAAACAAATAATTGGATCAAATAAGTGATTAATCTGACAATCTGGATTCACCACAGAGTCCCCGCCGCATAGAATTAGATTCAACAGTCCTTGAAGACATACAAGAAGTAGCCGGATTTGTTATTAGCACAGTTTCACTGATTGGAGCTACAGGTTTAATCTCAGGGCTCTTTGTATTGATCTCTCCCTTCGTCGCCATTAAATTTGTCAGTAAGCAGATAATTAGAGTCCTTCTCAAGATCACTTCATCCAATACTCGGAGAACCTAAATAGTGTAGATCTAATTTAGTTTGTAGTGGAATTGTTAAGAAAAGAGTATGTAGCCGGATTCGTTATTAGCACAGTTTCACTGATTGGAGCTACAGGTTTAATTTCAGGGCTATTTGTATTGATCTCTCCCTTCGTCGCCGTTAAATTCGTTAGTAAGCAGATAATTAGAGTCCTTCTCAAGATCACTTCATCCAATAATCGAAGAACCTAAATAGCGTAGATCTATTTTAATTTGTAGTGGAACTGTTAAGAAAAGAGTAGTTCACTACAATATGTCTTCTTATCTTATTGTAAGGAAACAGATATTTTTCGATTTAGATTTAATTTTATTTTGGAAAGTTTTTTAATAAATTCAATCAATGCATAGTTAGTTTAAGCTGAAAATGAGAGTAAACATGAATATGGATTTAAAAGCTTATTTTAGTAAAAGATAAGAATAAGTGCTTTGATTAAAAAGGAATTCCTCAGATAGTCATGCAAAATGATCCAAGCTGTGAATACGTACAACGACGTATAATATTATTTTTTTTAAATTTAAATCAGGTACTGCTAAATCAGGACTGGTTTAGACTCTTTTAAAGGAATGGCCGCTTCTTTTAAATGTTTGATTTTTTTATTGATTTTATTTGATTATTTCAACAATTGTTACACTGGAGTATAGTTTTATAAATTGTACTTATTGTTGAAGTTTTATAAAACAGATTAATATGGTATGGTAATGAGTCATGAAATGTACGTGAAATACACATGGTTAGAACTGATCTGAAAATCGAAGTAGAAGACAAATTATAGAATTGAAAAATATAAATATTCGGAAAGTTACGGTCATTAAGAACTTGATTTTTTTTTACCTAACTCTGTCAATTTTCAATATTTTTCCATTCTGTTAAATCATTCAATGGTTTGAATTCTGAAAATCAACTTTTAATGTTTTGTCTGATACAACAATTGTGGTTGTGTGTCGAGGGCGTGGTAAATTTATACTGAGGAGAAACTACGAGCTCAACCTGATCATAATTTATTTTTGTAAACAAACATCATAAGTTTTGTTGAGTGGGACAGGTGTCTATATTTTCTTGAGCATTTTTTTATCCCTGCAGAAGTGCGGTATGTTTGCGTTGAACTGAAAATTTATATGGGTTTCTTCGCTGAATTGGGTAAAATGAATAAATGTTAAAAAGGGGAAAAATTTTATCAAGGATGAAAAACTTAACCTTTTGATGCCCAATTTTATTTTCGTCTCTCAATTCAAAAATCACCCCCCCCCCCCCGGAATTATACACATCCTGGAGAGATTCAAATTATTTGTTGATCCTCTTCATCCTCCTTTAAGTTGATGAATACAGATGGGTCGTTTAATGGCTATGTAGTACTGGAGCTTGTTATCTTACTGTAGTCCCTGAAATGAATTCTGGAAATATGCTAATTACTAAAGCCTAATCTGCCCTATAGTAAACTTGTGTGAAGTGCGCATTCTCAAATTGAAAGTGAGAGCGCCCGAAATCTTCACTTTCCACTATACTCGGGCCGTAGGAAAGTAGGCGGTTTAGAAACAATAATTTTACGGATTTATTAAAGTTTCTTTTATAAAATTCTCTACACAGTTAAATAACAATTGTATATTATATCTGTTAGTTTTGTTCAGAGTTAAAAATTCATAAATTAATAATTTATCAAGCTAATAATTTAGTTGAAATTAAAATCTGGGAAACTAAACATTTGATACGGTGCTAGGAGTGAGAGAAGGCACACCGGCGGCTATGAGCCTGCAACTTAATCCCTCCATGCCACATATTAGCTTTTTGCCTTCCGGTAACCATATGCCACAAATTTTCGGTCTTCCTCATACAATTTTCTTCTTCCGACTATTTGGAGTGTAATTCCTTAGTTTAATTATTTATATTGAAATGGCCTGAACACTTGCCTTACACTCTAATCTTCTCAGACTTAAATTTTTGCAACCTAATGTTGTATGACCCTTGTGTCGAACTATGATGAAATAGTCAAATTTTAAATTATCATGTTGCAAAGATAAAAGTGAGCATAAAATTTAAGTTTGAGGCAAGTGTTTAGTTGCATTGAGTATTTTAAACTAAATACTTTATCAAGGGAAAGGGTAAAATTTCGAGGAACAGTTTTTTAGAGAGAACGGGAGAATGTATTTGTTAACCGTTGTCGACTTTTTATTACTCGATATTTTTTAGCCACTCCCTGGTTTGGTAAGAATTCAAGGGGACTAGGAAACAATATACCTAATCAAAGATTTATTTTTCAAAGTTAATTTATAACTAGGTAACAAACTTGAAGAATGTTGTTTTCGTTTTTAATAAAAATATTAAGTGAAAAATATTATATCTAAATGTCAAATCCACCCTATTGTGTATAACCTTCCTTTTTATTATTCTTTAAACTAGAACTGCTTACTTAATTAAGAATTTTCCCAGCTCATTGTTCATAATACAACACAATACATTACAACTTCCCATGCACTTTGAAATACATTGTAGAATATATCTCCCTGCACGGAGATGAGGCCAAATGAAAGCAACATGGTTTTAATTTTTTATTTCATCATTTAACAAAAAACGTTATATGGCGCTCTTGATATATAATACAAAATATACCTAGTACTTAGAATTTTTTAAGATGTATATCAAGGTCTTCTTTCCTAGATACATCCGGTAGGGTTTTATATTTTTTCAGGTTTACTAGTTTTTTTTTAACCTTTTTTTTACACTTCATTAGTGACAGAATGTACATTGTAGATACATACATTTTTTTGATATTTTTTAAGCTGTGTCGATAGGATACCGTGTCAAACTTAAATTCTTTTATAATTGTGTTCATCCGTATGCCAACTACTTTACTCTTTACTTTGTTAACTACACAAGAAAGACTAACGTCTCATAGAAATCATGGAAGATTTCAGTTGAGTTAACAAGAAAATATTTTTTGTTGTATGATTTGTAGCTGAATGCAGATCTGTTAAAAAAATAGCTGAAAATGTACACTTTTTTAGTAATAAACAAAAAAAAACCGCTAACATTTGAATTGTAATAGATAAAATATTGTTAAAATTAATATGATTGATATTGATACAGTTTTAGTGAGACTTGGGGTCACATCTATATATAAATTTGTCTCGTCTGTCTGTTTGTTTGGATCCAAAAAACGTCAAAACGGCTAAACCGATCGGGCTCAAATTTTTTGTGGGATCTTGCGTGACCCCAGGGAAAATTTATGAATGATCAATATTTTAAAAAGTTGTGCTTAAAACTTTTTTAATTTTGGTAAAAATTGAAATTCTTAAAAATCTGCAAATTTTTATTATCAAATCCGCGAATTTTTTTTGTTTTTGTTTTTCAATGTTACAATGAGAACATGTTCACAATTGAAATAGAAGATGGGCGCGAAGCGCCCGAAAAGCCTATTGACGTAATATTTAAACTAAAAAAGGTTTCTATTAAGATTTAACCTTTGACTTATCTTTTCCTGTAGTGTGTCTCTGTCTATCCAACCGACCCACTCTCCAATTATCCATTGGCTTGTTAAACTTATATCGCTCATTATGTCGGAGTTAACAGAATATACACTATACAGGGTCATTAGACCGCGTTATTGGAAGTTCTTCTTTAATTTAGAGAGTTAGTTTTTTATTGAATCACGGTTTTTATAGATTAAAAAAAAAACTAAAAATATCATTTTATTTAAGTATGAGACACTTTCTCCTCAAATATTTTTGAAGGAAATGTAAATTACAATTCGTCAATCAAGGTAAATGTATTCAGGGCACCAACGGCTTATACAATGCAATTATAAATTCAGTTTCTAAATTATACACTTGCATGTAAATTGAACAATTCATGTTGTAATTCAATAAGATTTTGAAAAACTAGTTCCGAGGATTTGAGGTTTGGGGATCCGAATTAGGAGTAATTTTAGAATTTTTTTTATAAATAATACCATGAATTAAATTTGATCATATTCATGCCTTTTTATAATCCAGTTCTATTAACATTAATATTCTACTAATTATTAAGTTGTTTGACGTAAAAATTGATTTTATAACAGTATTTACATAAGTTAATACATAAAAGATTGTTCCAAATATCTTTATTCCACTTTATTTTGGGTATCGCTGAACATATTTTTTTACAAATTGATGAAGCTGAATTTGGTCTTAAGTATTTGAGTAAAAGACTATGAAGGGTTGGATCGCGGAGTCAGGTTTCAGATTCAAGATTACTAAAAGGTAGAGCTTAGTTCTCATTTAACTCTCCAGGAATTGTGCTTTAAGAATTAATTTCAGATACTAGGTAATAAGTGTGTAATAATTTCAAGCCACGAATCACGAAGATACTTATCAATATTTAAATTGTTGCGAATATGTTACAAGTAATCGTTGGTAATCCCTGGTTTAACAATAACTTTATCTTGGATTGTGAATTTGGAGAGTTATTACTTCAAAACAAAATCTTTTTTTTTACCAAGGAAAACATAATTCGAGCAGACGCTGAACTCCAACCTTCGAGTGTGCGAGGTGGGGAAGATTTCACTGCAGATTTTACCGATTTTACTTTTGTACATGACCACTTTTTCAACAATTTTCAATTAAATCAGTATTTATTTAGGGTTAGGTTAGGTTAAGACACTTGCTGGGCCGAGCGCTGCGGCTAGGATTTAATCTCGATCTACCTCATCCCCCCTTAATCATGTTTTTAATCAAGCGCTGCAATGAAGTCTTCCCCACCTCGCACACTCGAAGGTTGGAGTTCAGCGTCTGCCCATAATTCGTTTGACATAAATTACTCCTAAACAATCTGGCTCCTTGGTATCTTTCTTCTTGTCAGTTCAGTTGCTTTTTAATAATTTCTATTAGTTGCCCACGTGTTATAAAATCTTGTTTATATTTAAAATCCTAAATTATAAGAATGTTTCGACTCATATTTATAACATGCAAAATTACACACTACACACACTGTAGTAGTTTTAGTTCAATCTACAAACTTTTTCTATTTCGTCTGTTTTATACTTTTATATTACTAGCCTTATAGCGCCCATCTTCTAAATTAATTTTGAACATGTTCTCTTTGTGTACATCGTAAAACAAAACAAAAATAATTCGCGGATTTTCACAAAAAATTTCGTGTATTTTCAAAATTTTCAAAGATTTAATGAAGATCGAATTTTGATGGAGACAAATATTTTAAATTTTGATCATTCATAAACCTTCCCTGTGGTCACGTGATGTCCCACAAAAAATTTGGGCCCGATCGGTTCAGCCGTTTTGACGTTTATTGGATACAAACAAACAAACAGACAAACAGACACCCAGACAGACAAGCCAAATTTATATATAGATATACTATTTTCTTTTTACCTTCCTTTATCTTTGTTCGCCTTCTTATCTTCACCAAATTACCTATTTTTTGTGATTTACAGTTTTACAGATAGGGTTCACTTAGCAATCTTTTTATTTTCAGATGCTGTCGCCTGTCGTCATAGGGAGCACGGGGAAGGTCTCACAGATGGCCAACAAGTTCGAGGAAGGCTTAGTCTTAAAGAAGAGAGACATCGTGATCCCTGCTCGAACCAAACCTGAGATACCCTATGTATCCAGCCTTGTAAGTAACAAAAATAGTGACACACTGATGATGGCGTTTTATTTTAGTCGAGTGAAAGGGATTGGCCACCAGTTTAAAGATACGCATAATTCCTTCAATTGCTAGGGATTAGGGACACAATCTTTCACGACCATGGTGTTACAAAGGGTCAAAATTATTAGCTGATTGGTAATCCGAGCGTTTTTCGAGAATGTCTGGTTTTCCAGTACATTTTGTTAATTTTATGAATTTATGACAACTTAATTAAAAAAAAAACAGAAAAAACACCTGTAATGATTGTTTGGCAGTCCAGGGTTTCTTCGAGTGCGGATTTTGGCAATTTCTTAAGACCTGTCAGTTAACTGTAAATTCGAGAAAATTTTCAAGTTCTATTAGAGAAAAGTTTAAATTTGGATTAAGAAACGACGATTAGATTAATAACTTGTGAATTCTTCAAGTCCCCTACCGTTTACTTTTTCTTGAATGGCCAATTTTGACCGTGTGAACCTCTTAATGTATCATAAGATTAGACCAAAATTATTTGAAACACATTTTTTTTAACTTGAAAGAACAATACTCTCGTGTTATTATTAATGACAAAAGTAATTACTTGTTAACACCTTCAGGTGAATAGACCTGAGGGGGCCACTGAAAGGTTTCAAAATGCTAGAGATAAATTCAAATCTATTGAAGAGGATACAGGAAGGGTGATCAGTCCTCCTGGTTCGAGGTAAATTATTTTTATTTTCTTTACTATCATTTCCCCTAAAAATATAAATATTACACTTTGATGAAGAAAGCTGAAAAAAAATGTTAAGAATTGAGAGAAACCACTGTAAATGGAATATTCATCATAGGTCTCATAGGCCTTGTTTCAAATATATTAACTGTTTTGTCGGAAGGCACTGTCATTGTAAAGAGGAACATGTCCGATTCACTACGGTACCCTCTTACCATTTATCTTATCAATAATGTGGAAGAAATTGTCGTTTTGCTCGCTTAAAAAGTGTTAAGCTCTGATGATTTTCTTCATAGGTATCTGCAGAATAAACAATCAAGTCATTTGTATAATAAATAATCATATTGAAAATAATGAAAATTTAAAAAGAATTCCTTGGATATCTTATTTACTCGTGATCAGACAAAGCTTTTCTGGTTACCCTTGTGAATCGGACATAATGTCGCTGGACTTAAGTCTTTTTGATAAATAAAATTATCTGCAAGGTCATCGTCAGTATCTCAGAGACCAGGGTCAAGGTCAGACAGTGAGAAAAATATGATTCTAGAGAGGTCAAGGTCATCTAGTCCTTTGTCCTCTCCTGGCAGGTCAGTGCCTGCATTTGATAGTTAAAATGCATGTGCATGTTTCAACTGGATTAAAAATGACCATACTAAATAAATTCTTGTAATCAACCAATTTTGCAGTTTTTTAACAGTCAGAGAAAATTTAAAATCTGACTAAACCAGTATTAATATCTACTAGCCATGGGATCCCAGCTTTCCTTAATCTAAAAAAAGTCAACTTAGAACTTATAAACCAAGCTAAGAACATGTGTCGTTCTACTGAGTTACCCGATCGAAATGTGATGCAAATCAACGGCAAAGGGCTTCATTCAAACATAGTTATAAACCAAGCTAAGGAAAACTCCTGTCGTCATACTGAGTTACCAAATCAAAATTTGAGGTAAATCGGTAAAAGGATTCATGAGTCATGATAGGACATTCAAACAAGCAAACAGACAGTGATTACTACTTTTTATATGTAATATATTTTTATAAATGGATTAAAAAATGTGCATGTACCCATCCTAATTTTTTTACTATCGCAAAATTATATGTTCGCATGCTGAAAATAATTTTAAGAAAGGGTCTTGGATATTACCATAAAAGATGTTTTGATTTACAATCAAGTTTTCAATTTTATTGGATCAAAACATTTTATGTATTCAAGATTTTAGCAATCCTGCTTTCTATATTAAAACTTCATGTAAGTATTAATAAAATCCTTCATAAGATAAAAAAATCATAATTTTAGATCAAGTTCGACTTCCAGTCAATGGGGGATGAATGGAAATGAAAGAACAAGGTATGTGGATTGTAAATTAGTTAATGAAGACTTAGTTAAATATTTTCCCAAGCAAAAGTTAGTAATAGTTTTAATTTTAGTTTTCTGTTTACAAAAGGTATTTTTCACAAAAATTTTAAATGGCCGTCGCAAATTGGGTTTTAATGATAATAAAAGGGAAAAAAATCACTTGTAAAAGTAAAAATAAAAAGTTTTAAAAATCATATTAATGTGGGTGGGTATCAATAAAACCGTTTTGAGAAAATTCGAACTAAATCAGTTTACTTAGTTCACAAATGTTGAAAATTAATGCTTTTTTGAAAGTTATTTTCCTCTACAAATTCTACTAAGTATTAAAAAAATGTGATTTTTTTGGCCATAACTGCCAGTTAAAAAAAAAAACCTTTTATTTGATTTGAACATGTACACTTTTATTATCATTTGCGATGGCCATTTTAAGTTTTTTGTGAAACATACCTTTTGTTAAGATGTCTTTGAATTCCTAGAAGAATAATTGGTTCTTCAGATAATGTTTCACCATTAAAAACAGTGTTACAAAATTTTAAGATATTTTTCAACTAGAAATGATTATAAAAATACTTTTATTCAGCACTTCAAGTCATGATAATGGAGATGTCATCCGTGGTTTTAGAGGAAATCAAGTTGGGTTTTTAAGTCCTATTCGAGGTGTTCACAGCCCCACCAAACACGCAGCCAACGGAAATGGGTTAAATGAAAGAATAAAACCGCCTGATAAACCTAATCGCAAGGTAAACGTCCAGGAATCGTTAAAAAATCACCGTAGTTGGACAAAGAATTTCGGAAAGCCTTCGGGAACACCGGGAACTCCAGAATCAGTGGACTCTGCAAGACGTAGTAGTGTTAACAAGGAGAATACCCCTAACAGAATGTCTGGTTTCGATGGAGTTCCTAGAGGTGCGAGATCAACTCCCATGCAACCATTACCATCAAGATCTCTAACTACAACCTCGGATTCAATGGATGCGTTTATTAATAACTGGAAAACTCCTTCGGGGTAAGTACTATTTATCTCAATTTTACTGTCAAGCATCTTGTCTGTAGCAAGTGAGGAGTTAGGAGAAGTTACAGGGATAAAATTAAAAGGAAAACGAATGGTTAAACGGAAAAAGTTATATGTTTATGTAAAAGTTAACAACTAGTTTTGTTCATAGATCAAATTAAAAGTTTGTCCAATCTGTAATTGGTATTAGATTAGTTTACATTCAGCTTTAAAACTTATCGCAGAATGTTAGGAAATAATAAAATTCCCAATTAGAAATTTTTCCTAAGTCCCCACTTTAATGGCATGACTGCAGACTGAAGAGTGCAGACAAGTATGTCAATGCATGATGAATATGTTATAGAAAATGTTTGAAAAACAAATCGATTAAGAAAATATTATTTATGATGTTCTGTAAAGTGCATACTACGTTAAAAAAATACCTTTTTTAGAGCATCAGGTGGGATGTCTTCATCAGGTATCTCAACTTCAATCTCAACGACTCAAGCTCTTCCTCCCTCCCTACCATCTACCTCTCCGCCTCCTACTCCTATCTGTTTGATCTCTAATACTGCCGGTAAACCTGTTGCAAGGGTAAACCCAGGTAACAGTCTCCGTATAGTGCAGAATTTTTATCTCTCCCTTTTTACTACCTATTTTCCTTCCAGTTACCTTTACATTTTCCTTCTCCTTTTCCTTACCTTTTTCTTATCTTTTCCCCTTTTCCTTTCCCTTTTCCCATCCCTCCCCTTCTTCTTAGGTCTTTGATTTTGGCCCCCCACCACAGATTATTTTTCTGTTAATATACAGTTATGTGAAAGGAATTAAGTTTTTGCCTCAAACTCAGCTTTTATAACCCCTATATCTTAGAACCTGGTGGCGTAATAGTTTGACATATCTATGGTCTACAACAACCGGTTGCCAAGATATAGGGCTAAGAAAATTACAGTTTGTTGCAAGAATTAAATTCCTTTGTATGTTTATATTTAAAAAATATATATTTTCAGTATCAACTACTCCCTGCTATACTGGAGACCGAAAGGGGCAATCGAAACCTCCAGTTTTATCACCAAAGCCTTCTTCTGAACTTGTTAAGAAGCTTTCATTTAACAGGGGCTCTGAAGAAAAGAAGAAGGTGGAGGATGATAAACCTCCCGTGCCAATTCAACCTCCAAACAGGTTTCATCTTTTTAAATATTTGTAACAATAATGATAATGTTGCTTAGAAATTGAAGTTAAGTTTTAACTGGTTTTTTTCAACCCCCTGCGTAATCTGTTCCTATAATATTCGATTCTTATCCAAAACATTTACCGTTGATTTCCTTGAATTTCAATGCAAAGAATTGAAGAAATTTGAAGAATTCAAGATAATGATGATAAAGAAATGCTCGATTCAATTCAGTGACCAATGATTTCATCGATAATTTCTTTTCAAAAATATGTTCTTAAACAGAAAATTAGTTCATATCAGAATATATTTTATAATTTTGGTGATGATTTTTAAACAATTGTAAAAATACGCATCATGAGGCGGACTCCACTCTTTTTTATTCCTTTTTTATTCCTTTTTATTCCCTTTTTATTCCTTTTTTATTTCAGTTTCGAGAAATCTGAGATTGTTCCTTGTCATAAAGATGCAAGTACAAATCTAAAAATAGTATCTTCCAAGTTTTCACAAAATGTTGCCAAAATAAGTCTGGAAAATTCGGAAGACTTTAATTCAAGTTTCACTACTTCTAGAAGCTCAATTAGTGACATCATAAATAAATCGGAGGAAAAACAAACCGTGGAGAAAATAGAATCAGAAATGACGAATAATGAGATCGATGAAGATGCTCTTGATACAGAACAAAACACTCTCTTTGAAAGTCTACCATCATCAGATTTTAAACAGGTAGTTAGGGTATAGCCTAGATAATTGTGGTTCTTTTATTGATCCCACCTTCAATCCTTCTCTTATTGTCTTCTTTAAAATTTTACTTGCATGATCTCTCTTGTAATTTTCTGCTTGAGTTTAAATCTTGTCCATGGTTCCTCTTGTAATATTCTCTTTGATCCAACCAGAGCTGGGAACTTTAGAATGGATAAACTTTAATCCGAATATCCACTGTGGAAACTTTTCATTTTTGTCCTAATCCACTCTTTTTCTCTCTCCTTGGATATCCGTTAATTGTTTTCTCCAATGAGAATATTTCTGTTCTCTCATTGGTTCCCTGCTTTTCTCTGATTAGCTGCTACAGTTTCTCAGATGATTAAAAATTAATTTGAATTTTATCGTTTTTCATACTCTTTTAAGATAATCTTGCAAGATTATGTTAATCTTGAGATTATCAAAAAGAGAGGATCAAGCATTAATCCCGATATCCACCATTCTAGAGTTTTCAGCTCTGTAATCTTTTCTCTAATGGATTTTTCCAAAATGAAAAAATCAAAGATAATTGATAATAACATGATTATGATTGTTTTATTTAGGTGGAGGAGGAGTTTAGAAAGCTTTCTGAAGAACCAGAGCATTTTCAATCCAGAGACTTAAATGCAGAATCGAGATTCAGAAAATTGAAACAACAAACATTTTCTCCGAACATTGAAGAACAACTAACAGAAACACCTAAACGCCCGAAGCCAACTACCCTAGACATTCCAGGCGTTCGAAAGACTATTGCTGACATTGACTCATCTCCAGAAACCCCTAGCTATTCTTCCAGACCGCTTCCATTGTCTCCAAGGTGTCCAGCAATCGCTGACATCCCTTTAAACAGTCCTGATAAACAACACATTTACCAGAATGTTAGAAAATCCAGCACCGAAATTACTTTTGTCGACGTGCAAAAACGGTCGTTTCATCCTTCACCCAAGCTTGCTAGTCCTGAAGACCTAACACCATCTATCAATGTTCCTTTAGGGAAGCTGGACAATAGCTCTGATGTAGATGAATTTAACGACGAACTTCAATTTGATCCTACAATTTCAAGTGGGTTCTATAGATCTCTTGGGGAGGGCGGTTTTCGCTCAACTCCTATAACAGTTGGAGTTTGTCCCACCCCTCAACCTTCAGCGCCAACCCCGCAGCCATTTGCACCTCCTCTGCCACCAACTAAACCAGACAGTAAGGTGAAAAGGTTTTTTATGTGGCATTATTTTCCTTAAGATTATTTCAAATCTTGTTGTAAAGGAAAAAGTAAAGGATATAAGTTTTTGCAACAAACTCAAATTTTCTTATCCCTATATCTTTGCAATCTGACGATTTGAATACTTGCTAAAAGCATACCCTGGCTAGACAAAAAGCTGTTGGACAATCCCAAGCTCTTGATTTGATATAATTTGATTTGATATTTAACACTTAGATTATTTTATCAACGTAATTTATAGTTTGTATTATCAAAGGTCTACGACATCGGGTTGCAATGGTTTAAAAAATCAAAATTAGTGGCGAAAACACAGTTCCTGTCGGAAGTAATTAAAAAAAAGATTCTTTTGGCGGGAATTAATTTATAGGTTTCTAAGGAAAATAATTGATTTTTAAATAACCAATTATACATGTAATAACAATAACTTAAACCCAGGTCGACGAGATGACCCCAAGGGAGGCGGATATTTTGCTTGCTGATCATCTAATGGAGCGGCGAAGTCGTGCTGGTTCCGTTCTCTCGGACGAGCAAGCGCAAGAGGTTGAACGACTTCTCAGTCCAGAAGGAAACCTCATATCTAGGTTTGATCAATTTGAAAGTGTGTCAACGTCAACTCGACGCTTCCAAAGTCCCAATGTGAGTTTTAATGATTTAAGTTCTTCCAACATCACGTCAAAGATGGAAAGTGACTTTACGTATATTGCAAGTGAGGATTTACCTTTAGAAATGCCAAACAGAAAGAACAACAATTCCAAGGATGAAGTTTCGAAACCTGGAAATGACGAGATTGACAAGGTGAAAGAGTTATTCTCAGATGCAAGCTTTGGTAGTACTTTAGTTCGAGAAAATGTTTCATCGTGGTTAGAGAATACAGGTAAAAGTTATTTTTTATCTTTCGTCAGGTATTTGTGTCTTTCTACTTTTCTCACAATGCCATGCCATGTCAAATTTTTGAAAAAAAAATTCTATAACCTTATAGGTTAATAATTTTCCCGCAGGTACACATATCATAATAGTAGCTTTCTTTTGGCCTATATTTTAAAGAAAAAATTTTTGTTAGGGGTATGTGAATTTAAGAATTATTTTCAGGGGGGGGGGGTGATTTTTTATTTTTGATCATTTGGGGGAAAATGAGAGGGATAAATATACTTTACACATCCCTGTGTTATCGAAATAATCTTTATCTTTGTATTTTTGCGACTTGACAGTAACACCAAAATATCTTGAACTCATTGAATTTTTATTACAGAGAATCTGACCTCCTCTTTCGATGCTGTGTCTTCCAATTACTCTCGGACCTCTGCTGTCGAAAAATTAGAGAGTCTTGTTTATTCTCAACCTGAGGTAAAAGAATAGATTAAATTATGAAAATTCAAACATCTATGACTGGTAGCGTAGAAAAAAAGGTTTTTGTATTTTGTAGTCTGTGGAGTTTTGATTCGAATTTTTTAACAAGTTACTATTAATTTTGAAAATATCTACTTTATTGCTGTTTTTTTTTCTTTTGCAAGTTAAGACTGGAAGGAATTAGAACGGAAAACATTATCAATTATTATATTGATGATATTTATGTTCTAGAATAATGTGGTGGCTGATTCTAATACAAACTCACCCCCTCCCTCTTCAACCCATTTAAGTTCTGTTGTCCAACTATCTACAGAAGCAACCTTCTCATCATCAATCATTAATTCAAATTCTTCCAGTCAAGATATACCTAAAAAGACCTCTACAGCTCCGACCCAATCTGTAGAGGAAGAAATAAACCATTCTACAGAGGAAAGTAAAGACAAGAAGATTGACGTGAAGAGAGTGCCGGATGCTGAACCTTTAAAAGAAACATTCTTTGACGCGGAAAACAAAGTTCACTACTACGAGGAAATTAAAGAGACATTATTAAGCTATATTTAAGCTATTCGTCTCTATAGTGTTTTTTTCAAGTTGTTGGTTCCTTAAAGGGACGGTAGGCGTAATTTTAATTGGGGCTCTATGTATAGAATGGAATTTCGATTCACAACATTACCCTTAAAAAGGATGGAAATATCCATGTTTTACTCTTTGAAATAGATTCTTTTCAATTGAGGTTCTCCAGAAAAGTAACTTGCAGATTTTATAAACGATGATATATTTCACATTATTGAGGGTTATTTAAGCAAGGAAAATGCTTCATGTATTAATTTTTTAACACTAATCAAATAATTAAATTGTATCCTAGGTCTGCGGTTTCTATAATATATGCAGTAATTAATCACTGCACTGATGACAAATTGTGTAGGGAAAGTTCTATCAATTCAAAAACCTTCATTTACATTTTTATTTGACTCTGATTATCTCTTAATGTTGTTTGAACAGGATGGACATTATTGGTTTGAATCTAATTCAGTGGATCAAGTTCAGCCCATGGAAGATACCGCACTTGCCAACCTTCACTTTCATCCTCCGACTAGGTAATTTTTTATAATAATTACTTTTTAACCATCTCATTGTGATGCATTTTTCTAATAAACATTACTTCTGCAAACTTTAATCTTTCGTCGCAAACTTGAATGCGATTTTTCGGTTGATATGTTGTCCCTAAATTCATAAGCACTGTATAAATTTGACTCCATTACATTTACACCTTGTAGATTTTCATGTTCTTTATGTTTTTTATTCTTAATTTTTTAAAGAATTAATTTTTTTCTTTATTTGAATTTTTTTTTATATTATCTTAATTTTTAATCCTAAACTTAATTGTAGGCTCAGATTTTCAAAGGAACCTGTTAAACAATATTCAACGCATAGTGCAGATGTGAGTGTCTTATTTTATTCCTTGTTTTAATATATACTTGAATGCAGTATTGAATGCAGTATCTTTCAATATTATGTCTATTGGTCTGCTTCTATTCAGATTCTGGCGTCTTGTCAACCGGTTTTCAACATCATTTCAAGTGACACTGATTTAAAGAGTTTTATGAACGATTCACGATGAAGTATCTATAAAACCTTGAGCTCTGAGGAACTCTGTCGATGATGTATTAATTTTCTAATGAATATTTTTGGTCATTTTCTTATCTGTCTTTGCTGATGATTCTTTACCAACATGTCTTAGTTAAAAAATGTGAGAGTATCGTGTTTGTTTATTCTCTCTTAAATTTGCTAAAATGGAGATATGTCTGACATTTTCCTTTTTGTGATTTTATTGTGATATCCCTTAATCGAAATATTCAGAAAATATTTTTTTCCGGATTGGATCACACATTTTATCCGAATTTGCAAACTTATGTTTTCAGGACTATGATCGGAGAAACGATGATGTTGATCCTGTGGCTGCCAGTGCAGAATACGAACTAGAGAAGAGGGTTGAAAAAATGGATACATTTCCAGTTGATCTTCACAAGGGTCCTGATGGTTTAGGTCTTTCCATTATAGGTAGGTTGTTGCAACCAAAGGATAAAAGTTAAAATAATTTCTGACTGATGAATTCTCAGAAAGGTAATCTTAAATCATGTATTCCGTATTATACCACATTCTTGTCGGATTTTCAACGTAGCCAAATCAGCAATAATTCTTATTATTCGCACCCATTTCGTGTAAATGTGGTATAATATTATTATGTGTAGGAAGAAAGTGTAATAATCAAAATTATTGTTATAATATTAAAAGAAAAACCGTGGAATAATTTTGATTATTCACCGAAAGGCGCAACAGTTAAAAAGTCAGTATAAGTGAATTGTTTCAGCAAAAATATTAAGTAAAGTTGTTACTGCTTCCAGTTTTCTATGGCTATCAATTCTCAACTAAACAGAATGTAGCAATAGACGCATAAGAACCTTAAATTTAAAATATGATCTAAAATGCTTAATATGTGTTGGGCGAGAAAAGAGTTGGGATTAATTTCTTAATAAAGAGGGTTTTTGGGGTTGTTAAATATAGTCATCTTGTTAAGGAATGGGAGTAGGTGCAGATGCAGGCTTAGAGAAGCTTGGGATATTTATTAAGACCATTACTCCAAGTGGAGCTGCACATAAGGATGGAAGGATTCATGTTAATGATCAAATAATTGAGGTAGGTATCTTCCTAAATGCACATTGCACAAAACAAATTTATTGCATTTGTCACGTATAATTAAGGTACATACATTTTATCAACGTTATTTCATCATGTACAATTTTATGGATAACTTTTTGAGAACAAATTTAAATTTCGCTTTAATTCTATAATTTTGAATAAAAAATTCAGAAAAATAAATTTTCTTTACAAAGATTTTCAATTATTATTATTATTATTATTAAAGGACAACCCATCATTCAATGAAATAGGGGTCGGCGCTCCTAGCCGCCGAAACGTATCCATGGGCTGACCGAACTGGTCACCCTAGGGAGAAGACTTATACTAGGCGGCCTGCCCAAGACAGCTCCAAATCAGGAGACTCTCTAAAAAACCAGGCGGTCTGCCCAAGACAGCTCCTTTTCAGGGGACTCTCTAAAACCAGGCGGTCTGCCCAAGACAGCTCCTTTTCAGGGGACTCTCTAAAAACCAGGCGGTCTGCCCAAGACAGTTCCATTTCTGGAGACTCTCTGAAAAATAGGCGGTCTGCCTAAGACAGTTCCATTTCTGGAGACTCTCTAAAAACCAGGCGGTCTGCCCAAGACAGCTCCATTTCTGGAGACTCTCTGAAAATTATGCAGTCTGTTTAAGACAGTTCCATTTCTGGAGACTCTCTAAAATCCAGGCGTTCTGCCCAAGAAAGTTTCTTTTTTGCTTTCACATAAACATATTACCTTACTCGTGGATCTTGACAAGCCATGCCTCTAGGATAATGGCCATCCGTTTTCCACGATCCAAGAGCTGCATTCCATCAGCTCCATCCCCACCGAGGTACAAACGGAGGACAGCCTGTGCAGTGCATGGCCCTCTCTTCAAAGCATTTAGCTTGTACTGGGTAAGCCCCAAGCTCCGTCTTTGTCTAGAGACACATGGGCAGTTAAAAATGACGTGGGATTCATGGAGTACGGAACGTGTGTGTAGTACTATCCTGCAGTGGGGACACATATCATATCTTCGACCATAACGGTTCTTGAAACGGTTCCCCAACAGGGTGTTTCCTGCCCTTACGCAACACAGTGTCCTGCTTGCAAAGGAATCCGTTACATGGCTCTGTAGCTTAAACCAGTTCTTGGGTTGAGGTACGATTGTCATTGTGGTGTGTTCTGCTTTTACAGCCATAACATGACTTATTGACCGATCGATGAGTGCCTTGTTCAGCTCCTTCCTTGTGTTGAAGTTCGTTAGGATTCCAACATCCCGTTGTATATTCATCCAGACCTTTACCCACGGATCCTCTGGCCGTGTAAGTAGAAATCTTAAAATCTGGTGGATAGTTGGGTTGGTTCTGTTTTTCACTGCGGTCCAGATATAGTTTGCCTGTTTGGTTTCTATTCTGTCTAGCATAGGGACCAGGCCTGCGTCCATCCATGCAAGGGTCCTGGAAGTAGAACTTGGGACCTGGAGAATAAATCGTCCAACCATGTTTTGAACACGGTCCAGCTCTTCAACTGTTTTCTTGGAGATGACCAGCACCTCAGCACAGTACAGGATCGATGGGATTGCACATGACTCCCATAGTCTCTTGGCTATCAGAGCCCGGTCCAGTCCAGCCCGTGTCAAGTTCATGATTGACATTGCGCATCCAATGGCCCGTCTTATCATGACGGCTTCATATTGGCCCACCATGTTCCTACCTCGGATCTGTAGGTTCACACCAAGGTACTTAGCTGCCAACACTTCCTCAATGGTCTCATCTTCAACTGACCAGTCAACAACGCTTGGGGAGTTAGTCAAGATGAAAGTCTTTGACACTGCCAACTTCATATGCATGTCCTTGCAGAACTGAGCTACAATCTCCAGTAGCCTATCCATGGCCCACTTGGGGGACCCGGCTATTAGTACTAAATCATCCGCAAAGAATAAGGCTGTTAGTACAACACCGCCAAGCTGGTATCCAAGCTTTGAGTTGTGTAGTGCATTTCCTAAACCTGCCACATAAAGAGCAAAAAGCATGGGGGATAACGAGCACCCCTGCTTCACCCCCTTTGTAAACCAAAGTGGCGCAGATAGTCGTGTTGTTAGTGTTAGTTGGACATTGTCATTGAAATACATTGAACGTATCAATGATAGGACCCGTCCTCCGAACCCTATTCGGCTCAGCTTGGTGTATAGGAGCTCCCTACATATCGAATCGTAGGCCTTTGCCAAGTCACAGAAAGCGATTGAGATTGAACAGTGATGCCGTCGTGCTTCTCGGATAACTGCTAGAATCGCAAACACACAGTCAGTAGTGCTCCGGCCTGACCGGAAGCCGTATTGGACGGACCCGTAGAATCCTTCCTCTTCACAGATAGGATCCATTCTTTTGTGCACAAGTTTTGTGAGTACACTCAGGAAAACGGTTGGGACCGTTAGTGGCTGTTTCTCACCTACCACCAACGAAGGCTTCTTTTTATCTATTAGTGTTAGTTTCCCTGTCAGGAGTGCAGGAGGCACTTCACCAGATTCTAGTATTTCATTTAATACGCTCGTGAATTCCTGTAAAAATGCCGCACTGGCATGTTTCAGCATCTCAGAGTGCACCCCATCCACCCCTGGTGCACGATCTGACTTATGGGACTTAATGATCTCCTTTACTTCAGCCACTGTTGTCGGTTCACACACGACCGCTTCATACTCAGTTTCTTCACGTTCCTTCGGAATCCACTGTTGGTAGTTTGAGTTCTCGGATACAATTATTTGCTTCACCACCTGTTCGCCCCTAGATTCAAATATTGGGGACCGCATCCCGCAAAACTGCATTGCATTAAAAAGTTATTACGGACAGACAAAATGTGGAACATGAATTTTTAAGGTTTGTAAATTAAAAATTCACCCCCAGCTTTTTTAAAACTCAAAAATAAATAAAATTCAATTAAACTTGAGTTTAAGAGACAAAGATTTTAGAAAAAGGTCATGTCTAATTAGCGCTAGAAATCTTTATGTTTTTTTTCTGTCCCTAATATCTTTAGAAAAATACGCTCATACAAGCATAAATATTTTTTTTAAATATGCTAATTAAATTATAAACAAAGTTTTTACCTGAGCAATACGAGGAAGAATAACGTTAAAATTAATGTTTTACATCTTTTATTAAAAGTTAACCCAAGATTAATACCTGTGTAAGCCCGGATTAAGTAGGTTTTAAGAATTAAGACTGCAGACACAAATCTGAAGCTATTATGAGGGACAGACATTTTTAACGTAACTTTATAATAGGGGTGTTGTGAAGTTTTTTCTATCTGCTTATAAATACAATTATCAACCTGATATTATTCTGATGTAGTTCTTTCTCCAGACTATAATTATTTTACCTCTCACTATTATAACAAATTAAACAAATGGTAATATTTTTATTAGGGACATCCAAAAAAAGACTAATACACTTTTGTCTTTTTAAAAGGCTTATTTAACAAATTTTTAGAATAATTATTTTACCGTAAGAAAAAAATTTAGTCAAATAAACGCTTAAGGTTTTTTAAACTTACAATCTAAAAAGCATGATTTTAAAACATTTTTCATTATTGTCAGGTGATCCAAGAAGCTCTTTAAAAAAGATTTTTTTTTATCCTAAAATAAGCGAACAAACTTGCTATGAATTTAATATTTTTCCTCTGCAGAAACATTATCTTGGGTTTTACCATATAGAGTGTTCTTAGATTTTACAGTTTGCTATTGTGAACTGACAAACAAGGATATTTACTTGAAATTTGCTTGAAGGGCGGCACAAGAATATCAAATTATCTCGTGAAGCGATGATATGTTTTTAAAACTTACTTACACTCCTGTGCACAGTGCAGGTCATGGATAGTATTTTATCATAATTTATTTATGTTCAATGTGACCATGTAGGTTGATGGGGCAAGCTTGGTCGGAGTAACTCAAGCATATGCAGCTTCTGTGCTTCGTAACACCTCGGGACTGGTCAACTTTGTGATAGGTCGGGAAAAGGACCCCGAGAACAGTGAAGTTGCCCAGCTTATACGACAGAGCCTCCAGGTAATTATATAATATTAATTAAACATTGAAAAGGCACTAATTTACTTCTGACACTTTACACTTTTGTGAAGCGTTTAATGTCAGAATCTGATTTCGAAAACAGAACTGGGATGTAGAATGTATAGTGTGAGTTTCCCGTTTACTGACCGATAATAAAGAGGGAAACCTTCTAAGGTCGTACATAAGTCATCCTACTAAAATAGTAGTGTACAGTACTTTTGTGAGAACAAATTGTACTTTATAATTTAATTTTACACTAATTGTTCTTTTATATGAGCTAACCTATTAAACTAAGAATTTTAAAACCAAGCTAAGAACCTTAGAACATTCCCGTGATTCTACCGAATTCATCAGTCAAAATTTCAGGCAAATCGGTTGAAGGGTTCATGATTTATACATTCAAACAAACAGAGATCAATTCTCTTTTCATAAACTAGACAAGCTTGGGAACCCAGCTTTGCCTGTAAACCAAACTTTCTCTATTATAGTTAACCAACTCAATTTAGAATTTTAAAACCAGGCTGAGAAAACATTCCCGTGGGTATTCCGATTCTAATCTTTTCTGATTTCCCTAACTTAATATTAGTGTGACAACATGAACATTTTAATTGTTTTCAGAACTTAAATTTATATCAGAAGCCTGTGGCCGAATTTAAAGAATTTGAGCGAGGTTTAAATTTAAGCCGCGTCTTAAATATGGTTGGTTCCACTTAAAATTGTATCAAATGTTTCAAGATTTAAGCAGGCGCTAAATTTAAACCGGGGTTTGGCGAATTTTGGCGGATTTAAACCGCGGCTCAAATTCTTTAAATTCCATCTCTGGTAATAATTCTTTTATTAAGGGGGTAATTATACCTATTATCCGAATTCACATATCTTTAAAGTCATGGCCATTCATATATTGTATTGGTATTTATCGTTTTATGCGTTGTCCTCTAAAGAACTTTTTATTAAGAGTCATGATCTGTTTCAAGATGATAGTTTCAAGAATTAGAGAGCGGATTTCCGAATCTACGAAGCGTAATCTCAATATAACTTAATTTGGGTTTTGTTGAATAAAATTAGATTTTAATTTTTTCAATTAATATGGGATGAAAAAAAGCTTGGAAATTTTTTTTATTTTTTTAGCCGTCTACGGATCAGGATGAAGATAATTCTAGGGTAAGGGACGTGGGAATTAAAGGGATTTTTGCTAATTTATCTATAGTTTATGTCCCTGTGTAAGTTCTGTAAAAACTGTTCTTTATTAGTTGTTTATGTAAAAAAATAGTTAACAAGAGATTAACACATTGTTTACAAATGCATAAACATTATACATTTGAACTTAACTAATTGGGAAAATTGTATTTACAAAAAATGTATTTGATTAACTAACTGGCAATTGTCCAATTAGAATTTATTAAGGCTATTTGTATTTGTATTTTTATTTAGCAAGCCAAATATTCCACATAATATATTGCAATTGAAACAGAACAGTCGAAAGACCATTTATTTTCGGTAACTGCAAATAGCCCCAAAATTAAATAATTAATTTACATATTTTTCTTACTTTAACTTATAATTTTTCTTTAATGATAAAAGATAAAATAAAAGTTAAATGATATTTCTGTAAACGAATTTTTCAAATCAGATCACTGATCACCCCATTGCCCATTTTGAAGGTATTCAAAATAAATCTTAACTTATTTCATGCAGCTCGAAGATTACTGGGTAAATATAAACGTGTTAATTAATCAATTAATATCTAAAATTTAGTTGGAAAAAAGTTTGGTTCAAAAATCAATATTTAGTCAAGACAAATGTATGGCAGATTTAAGCTGACTAACAGTTTAAGATAAAAGAACCTCCAAATTTTATTTATACAAGTTGCGTTACATATTATTTATTCTCAGTAATTCATAAATATTTTGCTTAATTTTCAGTCAAACCACTCTTATATTAACTTGTCAAGTATAATATGGGACGTTTATAGGTCAAATTTTATCAAGTCAGCCACTGGAAGTCGATGTGGTCTAACACAATAAAAAGAATCTCCTAATTATTTTTAAATTGCAAATTAGAGGCCAACAAATAAGTGCAAAAGTTAAACCATTGCTAATATCAGTTTGATATATTTACGAAAAAAAAAGTTACGGTTTATTAAAGCTTACATGTAAGCCCAAAAATGGCCTCGAGGCCGAAACTTTGGTAGGCTACCACTCATGAGAATAAGTCTTCAATTTTGGATTTAACGTTTTCTCATAATTTGCTAGAGCTTTGTGAAAAAAGTCCAAAACATTGACTTCCATGATTTCCAAAATCTGACTCTCGTGTTCATAAAGAATGACCCTTTTTGTCACCACGTTTTTTAGGGGATTTTTATTATTCATATGTAGTAATACTGTAACAAAGTTTGTCCTATTTGTTTTTGTTTTAAAGAATCAAGCGTGCTAGTCTTAGAATTACCTCAAAGTTACCATGCAATCTATTAATATAACTAATTTACAGTATTAATGGCTTAAAAAAATATATTTTGTAATATCCGTACTGTAGAAGCTAAATATTTTACAATCATTTAGTTAATTGAAGCTAAAACTGAATTGTTTGCTTAACAATGACATGGGTGCGTTACCAAGGTTCCCTTGAAATTGATTAATTCTAAATAAGGCTGACAGAGAGCGAGCACATCGTCAGCGAGAATATTTTGCACAGCTTGAGGAAGAAAGTGAACCTACTAGCCTGGCTACTAGTACAGAGGGAGAGCATACAATTCAGGTTAAAAATGCACATGTTAAAGGGCATAATGTCAACGACCCTCCACTTGTAGAGGGGCATTCCTGACGCTCATTGGTACCCTTGAAATCTTGATTTGATATATGGAATTGATAACGTCAATATTCTGGCTTGAGAAGTGTTTAATTATGATGATTCCTCCGATGTTTCTGAAGCGCCATTCATTGATATCTCAAATGAAAAGATACAGTTTTCAAAACAAAACATAATTCATACTTGATTAGACACAAGCTTGAAATCAATTGACAAATTTTTAATTTGAACATTTTCTGTTTCTGTAGCGATTAGTTATCATGACATAAGAATTAGACCTCGACAGTTGACGCTAAGTTAGGTTTTAAGACGTTTTTGGCCTTAAGTTGTGTTTGGATGATGTATTACTAGGTATACCTAGAAATTTTTATAAAAGCTTTTCACTCATTTTCTTTTTTTTTATACATACAATTTTGATAGTGCATGCGTTCAAGGCAGATCGCATAAAAAACTGTCTGCTACTCATTTTATTTTATTTCTCTACATTTTATTTTGTCTCCGTTTTAAGAAAACGGCAATTAACAGCAACCTGCAACGAAACGGGTGTCAAGAATAAATTCAAGAATATTATAAAATGTGCCTTTATAAACCATCTTTGATTAGGAGGAGGATCGTAGTATAACACCTACTCCGTGTATTGATGTTAATCAGGTAACATGTCGTTAACAAAAAATACCATAGCTGATTTTTTTATTAAAAAAGTTATTTGTATTCACAAGATTATTATTATTATAATAAAAGTTTGTGTAATTTTCACTCTTGTTAGGGACTGTTAGGCAAAAATGAAAGGGTATATAGGATAATACCTAAACACGTTAGGAGTTAATGAATGAATAAGTTCTATTTGAAGTTCCTATCTCGAGAAATTGATACAAAACTGTGTCAACGTTTTAGCAAAACTTGTATATATTATTATATGTGGTATAGGAATCAAAGTTTAAAAAGATCTTAATCAGCAAATACGCAACGAATCTGAAAATACGACAACCCAGAGGAGCCTAAACAGCTTTGGTATGCTCCTATTATTGATACGCCTATATCATGTGACCAACATTTACACCAATAGCAGTGCAGTATCAGTGAAAAGTGTCACCGTCTGTATCAAGTGACAATGATACTGCACTGCCATTGGTGGAAATACCTATACCACATTCATATATATATAGTTTTGGTATAACTTTGATACAGTTTTGTATCAATTTTCTTGAGACAGAAACATAAGATAGAACTCAGATAAGTTGCGATCAACTTCTGAAGTGTTTAGGTTTCAGCCTATACCCCCTTTTTATTTTTCCTGAACAGTCCCTTTAAGTTCCGATTACATTTACTCTTTCAATGATACAGAATGTCCTTCTAAATATGAAAATTGAGAAACCACTTAAAGAATGTCCACAAACTTTTTATTTAAGTTTTTATACAATTACATTTAAGCGGAGTCGGATATTCACTATTTTGTTGTCACATTATGTGATTAGGGTTTCCATTATTTTCGGATCAATTTGGTACGCTGAGGCCTTACGGAACCTTTCATGATAAACCATTAACAACTTCTAGAAATAAATGGCGGTAACTTCTTCTAAATATACCCCCTAGATGATACATAGCGAGATTTGACATGCAGAAAAAGTGAAAAAGAAACTGAATACTTCATTTTACACCCTTTCCCCCCTGTTTTGCAAGGAAAAGTGCAATTTACAACAAATACGGCATAGATTTCAATTTCCCCCCTTTTCCTCTATGATGTGTTAAAAAAATTAGTGAAATTTTATTTTTCGCTGGGTTTCATTTAAAATCCACATCAGAGCAAGATGCTCGACCCAGAGTTCTCAGTTAAAGAAAGTATTTTAATATTTAGGAAAGTGCAGGGTTTGGGAGCAATGGGGAGCATGGTTAGATATTTGGGGGAGCATGGCAGTTGGGCCAGATAATTTCCCAGAGAAGGTGGGGTTACAAGGCTAGGTTGCAGGAGATGCAGGGTTGGGAAAATGGGTAGCAGGGTTGAAACAAGGGGAGTAAGGTTGGGAAATGGAGAAGCAAAGTTTATTAGTTTTAGTTTTTTAGTTAAAAGGGAGTGTAAGCGTAATTTCAATTGACCCTTCATTAAAAGAGGGCAATGCTCGATTTACAACGGTACACTTAAAAACTTTGTGTGTTCGTCGAGTACAGAGATGTGTGTGTGTAAACGTATCGAAAACCGCTTTATGATCAGCTGCGAATTTCGGTGTGCACTGCGTACAATCTGAACTCAACACCAAGGCTAAACCTCCAGTACGCCCCTGGTTCCGTAAGGCCTTCATGGATCCAAATTTCTCTGAAAAAAATGGAAACCCTAGATCTATCTATTTATCTATTATGACTCCCTAACAACACGAATGATATTTGGTAACCACCCCTCCCGGCAACCCTCGGCCTCCTTCCGGAGTGCGTGGATCACTAGATATTAAAAACAAATGGTCATTGGAAAACCTATTTGAATTTATAATTTAGGATAATGAAGATGATGAATCTAAAGCGGATGAAATGGAACTACTAAAACTCCAACTAAAAGAGGTTGATAAAACATTTAATTGATTAATATTTGTTTGGCAATTTTTTACTGGCATAATTTGACTACTTCATGTTGCTGTATTTTAATAATTTGTCTATTTGTTCACAGTTCAAAATTAAAATATTTCATGGTCAAACAAATGTTGCTAAAATTATTTTCGATTTAAGCTTATAAATAGAGGCTAGGGGTTTAAATCTTTATGTGAAGACAAAAGCCCTAGAATAAAGGTACAAATTCGCCGGGAAACCCGTCGGTCGCAGGGTGAAATTTAAAATACAATACGAGGTTTTAGCAAAATACCATTTCTTAAAAGTCAATGAATTTCCAGGTGATGTAAAAAATGAGAGTACTAGGCTAAAACCCGAAAGGAGGGGGGGGGTTGCGCCATTTTCCCCCTTCCTAGTCCATTGAGGGAGAAGTGTAAATGCCGGTCTACCCTTAAACTTTTATTGGATTTGATCTGTTAAGGCTGAGTACAGAAATATAATGTTGCACGAAGAAATGAAACAACTTCAGGATAAGGTAAATAACTAACATAATCAAAGTTTCTCAAAAACATATTTATAATTTGTTCATCTTTATAATGATTAGCATCAGAAAAATTTATGTTTGACATTTGTTCATTTCTCTTAGACACAATTTTATTAACTCGGAGAATGTGTATTTATAGATGTACTGCAGTACACTAGAAGGATTGGACAAGGGTAAACTAGAAGAGGACAGGGATTCTATTCAGGAGCAAATACATGCTAATCAGGTGCAGTAGATAAATAAGGGCAGAACGAACAAAAACTTAAAGAATCAGATTCATCCGTTTAATAGATTAAATTCGGCTTTCTGACGGTATAACCGGTTTTAAATAATATTAAAACACATGTTACCGCTACTTCTTGTTATATTATGATATTTTGTGAATTAATAGTCTGAAATAAGTATTTTAACTTTTTTAAACAGATCAAGTTTGGAGAGCCTTTAAGCCAACTTATAATGCTTACAATTATTACGAAATGAACCTTTGACATATCAAGGAATGTGGAGGAATTCGTATTTAACTCGCTATGTCGTTATCTAAGTTGAATGGATAATTTCATTCAATTGATCTATGTTTATTTTATGAAAGTAATGTCATATGGAATTTTTGAACGGTGAATCCCAGGTATATGAATACATAGCAAGATTTTTGTATAATGTTCTATTCTCAACCTATTTAAGATCAAATGCCGCGGAAAAAAATTAATAGCCCTCAAATATTAATGCAATTGATATATTAATATTTAATTCATTTTTCCCGAGGCATTTGATCTTAAATATTTAATACGACATTATAAAAAACAGTTGCTATATATTAATATATCTGGGATTCACTGTATCACAGGCACTAATGATCCTTGAATAAATGGTACTGTTTTCTTTAGTTTCTCTTATGCTAAAATTATTTAATTCCTCGTCCATTTTCTTTTTTCTTGCAAGATGCAAAAGTTTAGTTAAGACCACTTTTTCTCCTCCCCCCCCCCCCTCCGCACTTTTTTCTCTCGTTTCAACACTAAACCTTGTTACCCCTTTTCTATCCATGTTTATTATTTGACCCTGAGGCTGCGCTGTACTCTCCGGTCAGCTGAGCAGGCTAGCAGCTGAACTGTTTCTTATCAATTCTATACACATACAGTCTTTACTTTTACAGTGCTCATTTAGTTCAGAATTTAGTAAAACTTGGTATTTGTTATGCACATAGGTATATTGTTTTCTTTTGGGGTTTTATAGGAATACATTATGACATCTTGAAGCTGAAAAGATGTGCAGTAGAAGATTTCTTTAACTATGCCTTTTTATGTTGTTGTTTTTTATATTTTTATTTAATAACACAGATGGTTATAATTTTTTATTATTTCAAAATAGTCAATAAGTTATTTGTATTATGCAAACTTTAGCTTACTTTACTTGTCTACGCCCTAAGAATGTTCAATGCTACTTTATATTTAGGAGGAGTATGTTGTCCTGAGTCGGAAGTATACCCGGGCTAAAAAGCTAATATTTTCCTTGAAAAAAGTTGAAAATGTTTTGAAAGACCAGCTTCTCATTCGAGATCACGAGTATTCATTGCACTACTCAAAGCTCAGGTATTTAAGCCTTTCTCGATTCAATTCTCACGGTTTTGGATGGAAATTATTCGTCTAACGTTTCCTTCTTACTTTTTGGGCAATTTGAAATTTAAACAAATGCTTTTTTGAAAACACCAAAATACTCAAAAAAGCTCTTTTTTTGCTCCTGCTTTTATAAAAGATGAACGGAAAATATCTATTCAGTGAGCGTGTTACTCAGCTAGAGCGTGTACTTCTCAGCACTCAGCGGTCAGCAGGTTTACCTGAACAATTGCCATACAATGCTATTCTTTCGCCTCCTGAAGTTCTGAACAAGCCTCTGGTAAATAAAAAATTATGTTTTAAACCAAGTTATTGATTACAGATAACTTGAACTTATTTGATTCTGATAAAAACGATGAACATTGGGTGATAAACAAGCTTATTTCAAGTTGTTAAACATTATAAAGCTTCTTTTGTTAAACCTTGGTTTCATATAACCAACTTAATTCCTAGTTCCTCCAAAGGCCTGAAAATTAACAATGAAAGAAAAAATCCGAGGATAAAATGAAGGACAAATAAATGTTTCTTTTGTTCCAAATGTCTTGCTGTTTGATTTATTTAGGATTAAATATGGGGGAATTTGTGCTAAAAGCCTGGTATTATATTTAGATTGGTTTGACGATTTTTGATAAATATGACACATTAACAAAATATTACTAGATTACCATTCCCCTGAACTAAAGCTGAACTTACTCGGTTTTATAGCTCTGAATTAGATTCAGTCTTAGATGGAATTCACGAGGATGAGCCTGTTCATACTTAAATTTGTTGTTGTACAGATTTCAATAGTAAACTCTGGACTACGAATTAACGAAGCTAAATTAGAAAGTTTCTTCAACCTAATATCATGTAAAATCTACTTTACTCTTGTCAAGGCCTCAATTATTAATATTTTTTCAGGTTGTTCCGCCTTTTGACTTTCAAGGTGAATTATCTGAACCTGAAGAAGATATGTCGGATTGTACCAGCCTAGGGTCAGAAGCTAGTCTAGAGCTTGACAAAATTCCTCGACACACACTCCTGGACTGCTCAGCAGCAAAGCATAAAACTGAACTTGTTCATAGGAATGTCGTTTTCTGCAACTCATTTTTAAACTCATCAGATACAATCACTTTTTTGTAAAAGCAAAGGGAAAAATCGTAAATTTTTTAGATACCCCATTACCATGTTATGAGGAACTTGATCGATCTCCAGATATTCAATTTTTTTTGCGACAATAACTGGAAACATTTTTTTCAGCAAAAGCTAAGGAGGACTTAACATTTCCAATGTAATAGTTCCTTTGTTGTAATTACTTGTCTGATTTAAGTCTAAAATACTAACTCTTTTTTAACAGATTATGTGGGATTTTATTATAAAAATAAGAACGTCGTACCATTTTGACGCTTGTTAACAAATAATAATTGATATTTATAGCTATAAAAATAAAACGAAGTCATTTGAAAGAGGAGCACTGGCCCAGAGACATAAACCAAGTGCAGAAGCTCTAAAAACCCAAATATTAAGAAAAACCAACATTTTATCGACTTCATCTTCATCATCTAGTGTCAAATCAGTAAGATTTTCGCATATAATTTTTCCACCTGTTTGTCAAAGGTTTTTATAAAAAATTTATTTTTGGAATATTTACATCTTGAGTATTCCGTTTTTAACGTGCAATTGTGCTCCAAATCTCAACAATTTTAACCTTGTCTACGCCTTGAGAAAGACGTCCATTTTTTATATTCTGAATTTAGTTGCCAATTCATAAAAGAACGATGTTCAAGAAGGGATCATATAGTGTCCGTATATATTAAACTTTCTTTACCTACAGTCCTATTCTAAATAGCCCGGAATATTTTTAATTGATTAAAGACTACAAGTCGTCTTTGACCTTAGAAATAGTTTGCGGCATTTATTAAGATTTATAATAGGCAACTTAATATTAACAATAAACAAAATACCCCTATTCCTGTTCTTTCCAAAATGTAGTCCGCCATTTTTTGCTTTTATAATTTGCGGATATATGAATGATTTCGTTCAGAATTATACATTTTAAATTTAAACAAAATTCTTAATATCTCTGGTATTTTTCAGAGCAAAAAAATAGCAGACCACATCACTTACTTTTAAACTAGATCCGTCCTGAAATTCTAGGGCAAAAAATCTCAAATTCATTCATTCAGTAGATTCAGTATGATGGAGCTTGTAATCTAAGCATTAAATAATTTGATTTCAACGTTTCTTAGGTTGAGAATAGTACTGAATGCGTTATAACAACTCAGAACCGGCACTACCCTAAACCAACTCTGCCATCATCCGTGTCTCTACCCTCCTCCTCCCCTCCCTCCCCACCAAGAACCTCGTCATTGAAACCAACTCAACCCCCATTTCAAGCATCTAAAGTGTCACCTCTGGCATCTACTGGAGAACCAAAAGTTACAGATTCTCCATCAAAAAAAAAATCTTTCATAGATGAAATTCAAGTAAGTTTTGTTGTTTTATCAAACGTTAAAAAAACATTCATGTGATTATCGAGTAACAAATATTTAGTTAAACAATTAAATTTGTAAACTTTCTCAGACTGCTCAAAGGCGGCGCGGTCTGGAGGATACCCAGGAGGATAGTGGAGCCAGGCCCCTTACTGGGATTCCCAGCATAGGGGGTGCTTCCGCTTTACAGGTTAAAATTAATTTTGTATTTATTAATTGCTGTAAATTTTCTAGAATTAGGATTAGGTACACTACATAGTACATAGTCAGATTAAAGTGATTTATATTATGTATTGTATTGTATCTTTGGCAATTTGGTAAATTCAAACTCCTTAGGCAAACTTTATGTGTTCTTCTAAAAAAATGATGAAAAAAATATTTTTTCTATATATGCAGTGTTCCTAGGATCAGTTGAGATCTAAGCTTGAGGCCCGGCGTAGGACTGTAGAGTTGGCTGAAACCTCAGAAACCACTGTAGCTAAAGGTTAGAATACTTGGAAGTGTTTTGGGTGTTTTTTTTGTTTGACTATTAGTTTGCATATTAAAAATAAAATGAATCAACACGCATTATTTGATGTAATTGTTGAAATATGTGTTCGTTGTTTTTTTCCGGTGGTGCTAATAATATCAACAAACCCTTTACAGTTTAATTTGAATAAAAATCATATTACTGTTATGATAATTTTCATTTTCACTTCTTCTTTTTCTTGGGTTTTAAACCATAAAACAATTTCTCAAATGCCCAATTCCCTTAGTGAACTTTTTTTAACTAAAAAAATGTGTACTATTCCAAATGGGCTTACATGATAATTTGTAAATATTTGTGTGTGTTTCTTTTGAGTTATTTTTACTAACACATAGTTCTTATAGCGCGGAAACAATCTCCGCCCCCCACTTTCCCTTCTCCTAGCACAACTCTGAACCAGTCTCCGTCTATTAATATAAACTCCCCCTCCAGATCCATCGACTCCACCCCTCGTCATGCGCACAACGTTTCCCCTTACCACCAACAAACCTCAGCACACCATCCGCCACACGCTCATCAGCCTCATCCGATGCCACAGGGGCATTCTCTACCATCTCCGCATAATCATCCCAAACCTAGCCAAATGTTTCACGGTTCTTCTCCTGGAGCCCAATCCATCTCATCTTTGCATGAAGAACATGTTCCTCGTCCTCCTCCCCACGCTGCTTTTCAACCAACCCAATACTCAGCAGTTGGGATGGTGCAGGCAGACAACGATCCTTCCTACCAAATTTTTCAGACGAATGTCGGTAGGACTTTTAATTCTGTATTGATAGTATAATGGAGGGTTTTTTTGCTGTGTGTTGCTAAATTATAAACACGTTGCTTGCTTATCTCACGGCTAGTTTTTAGATTTCTGAAAAAAATTATTAATGCATTTGTACTCTGAATTTCATTTTTACTAATTTTTTTCATCGTCAGTTCAGTAATATATTTTTTCAGAAAAATAAAAATTGTCTTGTTATGGACTTTGTATTGCTTGAGTTTTTTGTTTTATTTTAATATAATTCTAACCATAAGGAACTTTTCAGAATATTATTTGAAATTCATTCTGTAACGACTTTTTGGAAGGTCTCAATTCAATAATTATTTTATTCAATTTTTAAATAAAAGAAATATGCAATAAATTTGCATGATGTGTGGTCTGTTCACTAACCCAAACACTCCTTGCTTTAGAACCAAGTGAGGTTGGAGTCATACCTCCAGAATACAGAACCCAGTTCTCCAGAGAGTCGCACCAGGAGTCGTTCAGAACCGACTCTCGACCTCTTAACCCATTAGCAGAACAATGGAACACAGATGAGGTAAGAATTCTTTATACACAATCCTGTCAAAATAATTTTTTGATTTCTACTTTTTTAATTTACTATTAATTTAAAGTTTTTAATAGATTTTTTATATTACAAGATTTTAAACATCATATCAGTGTTTTATTCTAGTCCTTGGCGGGCCCTTTTTTGATCTAGTTTCTGTCTTATTTCTGAGCCTGCTCCTACTGGCCGGAGTTCAATGGGACACTTTTCTTTTAAAAATCAAACAAAAAGAATTTTTAATAAATTTTTTAATATCATGGTTTATTCCAGGTGTGTAGTTGGCTTCTAGGTTTAGGGATGGAGATGTATATAATGGCGTTCACAAAGAACTCAATAAGTGGTGATGTACTTTTATCGATAGACTCTAATACCCTGAAACAAATGGGAGTGGTCAATAAACAAGATCGAGAAAAAATTAAAGAAAAGATCAAGGAACTCAAAAAATGCAGTGAGAAAGAAAAAAAGCGCGAGAAAAAAGGAAAAAGTGGATTAAAATCACCTTTTATGCGATAATTTTATGCAACCTGCAGCTAAAATTGTAGAACGGGGGAAAGCTGAGACAAAAGCTTTTTTAATGCTCACGGCAGGCAAGAACGTTTTTTTTGCAGAGACCTTTTGTTCTAAGTACAGGGTGGCCAAAATGTACGGATTGTACGGATTGTACGGATTGATTTTTTTTTAACCCTAAAATTGTACGGATTGTACGGATTGCACGGATTGTACGGATTTGTTTTTTGTACGGATCTTTAAAAAAATGTACGGATTGGTTTAAAAAAATGTACGGATTGTACGGATTTTTTTTAAAAAAATTGTACGGATTGTACGGATTGTTTTTCGAAAATTGTACGGATTGTACGGATTTCTTCTGAAAATGTACGGATTTTTGTACGGATGGGTTCAAAAAAGTTTTGGCCACCCTGTAAGTATGAATAGATTGACTTTTCAAATAAAAGACAAAAGACAGTGAAACGCTTATTAAATATATTAAATTTTATGTTTAATAATGAAAATATCTTCTGATTTTTTAATCATTTAAACCACTTAACGACATTTGTGACTTTGTTCTTTAAAAGCAGTGCTTAGAATCAATTTCGCTTTACTAAGGAATCTAATTCATTCAACTGGTCTAAATGTTTTTTAATTTAATATTTTTTATAAAACAACGCAAATAGATTAGGTTATGTTTGTTTCCTATTATGATCCAAATCTGGAAATAATAATTTAAGTACAAATTAAGAGCACCATTAAAACCATTGCCATACAGTGATTAACTTGATCTCTATTTCCGTATTATAATCTTTATGGGGTCAGTGATGGGCGATAACTTTTCGTTTTCAAAAAACTTTTTAGGTTTTAGGACTTTCTATGAGACACCACAAATATCAGATAAAGTTCAAACATTTAAAACTTTAATCTGTAAAAGTTTGATTTTATGAAACTATGCAAAATAAATCTTAATGTTGGAACCTTCCCCTTTATTTGAAAAATACAAGGAAAAAGCGAGCTATCGTTTATATGCACATACAGGGTTACCCAAAAAGGATGAAACTAAAGACGACTGTAAACTCTTAAAATATGACGATCCCAACGTAATATTATGTAATCTGTCTTAGATATAGTTATTTACTGATTAAGTAAGAATTAAACAAGTTTGCAGTTGCAGGGAATCGTGAATATAAGGAAACAAACAGTAAGAATGTATCTTCCATCTGGCTGAAAATTTGGCATAGTGTAATGAAGGCAAATATTTAAAACAAACAATTTTGAAATTTTTCCAAACTCTTAGATTTTGGTGGAACCTTTAAAAAATCCAAAAACCTTAAAATTAAAAAAAAAAAATCAGTATTGCCTTTTAATACCTTGGGTCACCAGGAACAGATCTTAATGTTAATTTTAGTTACAAAAGATTTTATTACGTTTTATTTTGATTTTTTTCTCCCCTTTCCTTACGATTTTTTAAGTCGTTTGCGTTGTTTTCCAGCTCCTAACTAAGTTAAGTGATCATGTAGGTTTCTAATTGAGATTATTTTTTGATAATTTGCATCATGAAAGAAATAAAAAATGTTGCCAGGAAAATAGTTATACATCGTAAAAGCGTTTCATTGTTTTTCTTGTTTTTACATTATTGAACTTATTTAATATTTTATCTTGGACATATTTCAATTGAAGAAAATGTTCTTTTAATATTGCCGAGAAACGTTTGTTACTATTAGCATTGAACATTCCTGTGCCAAGAGTGTAATTAAAATATCCATTTTTCTCTGTTTGAAAATATTTTTTTCAACATTAAACTTCATTCATGGAGAATTTTCTAGACCCTTTAACCCTCAGAAACCTGTGATTTTGTCACTTAAATTTTTATAGGTTCTTTGTTAATGTATTTTAATATTATTATATATGGTGCTTTATCTATAATATATAATAAACTATAGAAATAATGTTTTAGAATCCTTTTTTGTAATTGGGGAGTTGGTAAATATTTACAATTTTAACTTTTTCACCGTTTCGAACTTCTGCTTGCTGGATTGCTTTAATTAACCTCTTGTATAATATGTACATGTTTATATATATTCACATGTACATATTCATCATGCATATCGATATTTATTCGTTAATTTATAATATACCTATGTATATATATTTTCACATGTACATACTAATCATGCATATCGATATTTATTCATTAATTTATAATATACCTATGTATATATATATTCACATGTACATATTNTACATACTCATCATGCATATCGATATTTATTCATTAATTTATAATATACCTATGTATATATATATTCACATGTACATATTCATCATGCATATCGATATTTATTCATTAATTTAGAATATACCTATGCTTAAAAATTGTTACAAAAGCTGCTGAACACAGCTTCTACAATTACTAAAAATTTACAAAATACTGACATTGATTCTGACTTTTAACAGAAACATAAATTTATTCCTTAACGATAAGATTTTAAAATATTTTAGTTAAAATGTTTGTGTTTTATTTCTCCCATATCAATTCTATTAAAAAATAATCAAATATTTTAACATTCTAGTCGTCCAAAGGAAAAGAAAATTGAATTTATAGTGACACTTAGTGGAGAAATATTACTTGGTATTAAATGTATGTATCCATAGGTAAAAATACGTAAATATTTTTTAAACCTAGACTCTCTAAAAATCCTTTGTTTGAAATTTACATATGTATAGGTACTAATGCGCACGATTAGAACCTAAATACTCAGAAAAAATGAAATTTAAGTAAGCATAGGTAATAATAGGTATTTTAAAAAACTTAGACAATTACAAAAATTACTTTGAATGAAATTAAATACGTATTTTTAAAACCTAGACACTTGGAAGAATTTCTTGGTATGAAATGTATGCACTTATAGGGGTGGACCGGGCCTCTGGAGCCCCCCCCCCCCCCTCGATAAGTAAAGTCTATGGTTTTGAGGGGGTTCACAGGCCCAATAGGTACGCATGCATGATGGTGCTGTGCAGCCACTTAAAATATCTACCATTCCTTCATAACTAGGTTTTTTAAATCTATTGTTAGAAATGCGCGTTTTTGAAATTAAGTTGCTTGAAACAGTTTTAATATTTGAATATAAAATCAGTTGATATTTTGACGGGGACAAAGAAAATTTATGTTTGATAGTTGTGAAGTTTTAGACTTATAGCTTGTTAGGTAGTAGGACGAACAGAAGTTATAGTGCAATATCTTACGTATTTTAAAAAGATTCTTTTAATGTCCAATTATTTTAAAGTTTAAATATCCCTCCTCCCCCTGATAACCGCCAGAAAGGTTTTCGGAAATATAGTCCTAAATTTTGACACTAAAGAAGTTCTATGAAAAAAAAAATCTTGAAATAAAAAGTTTCTGTGAATAAAAATTGAAAATTGACGTCCTTCTTTCTGTTTCCAGTATACATTTTATACAAAACTTTCTCATAGTGGACAATGCATGGGAATAAAGGATGTTTTACAAGCGTGGAAAAAACGGGCCTGATATTAAAACACCTCTGACTGTACTCCATATGAAGATGAAAAGAATAAAAGTCTCTTTTATGGAAACGTCTCAGACTTGCCTCATTTCCAAAGACTTGGACTTTTTTCTTGTTTTTTTTTTCTTCGGATATATTTTCTTCAGGACTAATTCCTGTGATCTCATTTCTTGAAACTTTATTGGCAGCCCTATAATATGTTAGGAAACTGCCCGGTACTGGATGTTACTGTTAAATAGTACTGGCAAAGAGAATAGAATATATATTAGAGTGGAATTTACTAGAAAAACGTGTAAAACGGCCATTTTGTTGTACTGTTTCCATAATGCAGGTGTACTTCACATATTTGTGATATATAACCTTTTGGGCCCTGGAACATCATTTTATAGAAAATCTAAGCTTAATATTATAAGAACACCAAATTATGAAATAGACTGGTTTGAAAATTGACCAATGATCATTTCACATAGACTCTATATGCCTTTCACTTTACAAACGATGATTTTACTATGACTATAACGATGACTTTATATCAAATAATGTTTTTTATTCACCTAATTCATTTTATAAAGTTTATTTAACAGCTTTAACAGCCAAAGAGAATGGAATATATTAGAGTGGAATTTACTCGAAAAAAGTGTAAAACGGCCATTTTGTTGTATTTGTTGTGTTTTTTTCATACTGCAGGTGTACTTCACATATTTGTGCTATATAACCTTTTGGGCCTTGGAACATCATTTTATAGAAAATCTAAAATTAATAAGAAAACCAAATTATGAAATAGGCTGGTTTCATAATTGATCAATGATCATTTCACATAGACTCTATATGCCTTTCACTTTACAAACGATGATTTTACTATGACTATAACGATGACTATAAATCAAATGATGTTTTTTTTTCACCTAATTCATTTTATAAAGTTTATTTATAGACACTTAAATTCAACTTTAAGAATGGATTAAAAACATTTTCCCTGTGGAATACTTAATAAATAAATTTTTTTTAGTTAAATAAAGATAATACTTTTGTTTTGGCACGCAGGTAGCTTGGAATTTGCTAATAAGGGGGGGGGGGCATTTTTGGGACCAGAAACAAATTAAATACTTCAAGATAGAAAAACTAAAGTGGTTTCCTTGCTTTGTTTTTAAATAACTATTTAATCCATTACAAAAGACGACATTGTGAAACGTCAACAGAGTAAATACATACTGGATTTCTGGAGAAGACAATATTAGTTACTACCTTTGTCTACCCGAGAAAATGCGTCGAATTTGAGTAGATGTTCTGATGAGCTATCCTTAATTAGCAAAGTCGTTGGTAGGAATTATGAATAAACAAAATTGTTTCCCCAGAAAATATACAAAATAAAAAATAAAATTGATTGTTAACTAAGCTTTGGAAAACAATTTAAGATTTTCAAAGACAGCAATATTTTTTTTTGTCAGTAAAATAAATTTCTTTTGGAATTCATTCATACGTTGGTCTTTTCATTATCATACATTCAAAAAAAGGATAAAACATTTTAGTCTTGAGTTTCGGATCTCTAAAGTGCAACTGCATTAAACGAGTCGACAGTACACAACATGTTAACAGTGAAAATATTAAACTGCAGGAAAAGGGCATCACATCGAGTTCAAATTGACAAAATAATGATGCGTTATTGTTGTAAAAAGCAAATTGATATTCAAAAATGCATTTTTTATTTCATATACATTATATTTGACGGAAATATTAAAGAAACTGTTTTAAGTTTCAAAGTTATACATCCACAAATGAAGTGACTGAAAGTAAATAACGTTCTTCAGAGATGTGTAATACAGGGTATTAAAGCCAGAAAAACTTGCAATAATTGCAAAAAAAAGTTTGTTCACCTTTGCAGATTTGAAGAAATGATGCAACACTGCCCTCTGCTTATAATCGTGAGGTGTCTGTTCTCACTGGAGAGAGTAGCAATTCCATCAAAAGTTTTACGTCATTATATTTGTCTTCATGATATAAACAATTCCTTAATTTTTTATAATGACGACAATTGCTTCTAATTAAAACCGCAAATAAGGTTCAAGAAATTGTGCTTTAAAAAATGTTAGTAAGTGTAATGTGACGTGACATGTGCAATTGCAATGCAGCGTATGACTTTTTTAATTTTCACATTTTTAATATATATAAACTATTAAAAATTATCCCTTATTCTCATAATCAGGAACCCGGGTTCCTGATATGTTGTCAATGTGTCCATGTCTAAGACCTTGTACGCACCATAATACGGTTCTCGATCAATGGTTGGGTTATGTAACTACAGGGCAACATCAGTTCTGGTTTGCGTAAAGATCTGAGTGGCCGGTTTATATGAACAGTTACAATTTAACAAATATTGAAGAATGTCCCACAGCCCGTATTTCCATTACAAAGAACTTTTTTTTAAATAATAGCTCATAAGCATTAACAACTTTTTTACCATAATAATGAGAAAAAGGTTTCAAAATTTTAAGGCACTCGTCGCTTAAAAAGTTTAATTAAACCATTTCTAAACTATAAAATCTAAGACATGAGTCTTTTTAGAATTATGACTTTAAAACAGCGCATAAAAGAACACCAGATGTAGAAATTTGTAGTAGATCTTGGAGCATGGGCTACAGCGTTCATATATTAGGTAAAGGTTACTTCCAAAATATTGATCTTGTAGTACTTGTAGGGTTGAGCAGATATTATCGAAACAATATATTTCAATTCACTAATGATTATCTCTTATGAACTTTTATATCTTTTTGTTAAATAATTTTACGTCAACGCCTTAAGATGCTTTCCATTTTACATTCGACTCCAGCCTATCTAAAGTTTTTGAGTGAACCAAATACACCAGTTTATTTTGTGCTTCCGTGATGTACATACATCTAAACTTAAGTGTAAATTAATCTTTTCTTCCACGGTAACCTCAAAGGTTTATACTTGTAAATGTTCATTTATAATGCACGTAGAGTGTTCTGAGGAGGGAAACAAACAACCCCCCCCCCCCCTAAAATCCTGTAACCACCCTAGCAGTTGCGAGACATCTTGAAAATATTCTGAACCTTATATTATGCGGAATTTGTTTTGCCAAATTTCAATTAAAATTCTTGAGACAATAAATATCCCTTGAGTCCTGACACATTTCCAAATTGAGCTCTTTTTGTGGTTTAAAAACTATCGGAGATAGAAAGCATTTGGTTCAGATTTAGACAATTTTGGAAAAATTTGAAAAATTTAAAACTAGTATAAAATTAAGAATATAATGCGTTTGGAAGTTATGAAGGGAATGAATGAATACCGAAAATTATTTCAAAATTCAACGACGTCTCTCAACTGTCATATTTCGTGGAACACCCTGTCTCGTGAAAAGAATTCAAGACGAGGAGATGAGAATCGAATGAAGGATTAAAAAAGATAAAACATATTTTGGATATTTTTAATTATGCATTTTTTAAAAGACCAAAATGCGGTTTGTTTACTTAGGATTGCTCTTTTCCTTATACGTTTGGGAAATAACTTCACAGGTTTGAATTTTCTCATTCTTTATCTTACTTTTTCTATTCCTATCATGAACAGTCAGGCCTGAACCTAGAAAGGATGGGCACATAGTCCAAAATATGAAGATACGCCACTCAGCCAACTCATCTCACGAAGTGGGGTTTATTCAGTAAACATACTGCAGGGTCTGAAGGGGTTTGTTTTAAACTTCGATTTTGGCACATATTTAAATCATATATTTATTAGCTATTTTGCCGGCGTACACATCAATACTAAATGATCTGAGAGATAAAACAAAAAATAAGAAAGTAAGCAAAGGAAGAGCTGGAAAAATATCTCGTTTTTAAGAATACGTACACAAACAACCCCAATTTTTTTATTTGTACAGATTTGCCCAAAAATTGCCTGCTGTACGAGATGTACTCAGTAAATGAACCTCTACTAACAACTACTGTGTGGGTTCAACTTTTTATACATTATATTTCTCAGTCGCCTGGCTACTTTCAAGCAGAGCAGACCTATCCTATGTGGTCCCAGAATTACAGCTGGAGAAGAGCTGAGTTTAGTTACGCATCTTATATCCTACAGGGAAGCAAGAATTGTACATATGCTACCAGTTTTTTACTCCACCAGATGTGATGCTTTGGAAGATTCATCTCAAAAGAGCTTTCAGGGCTCACTCCCCATTTTCTATAAGGGGTGCAGTTATGGGTTTTCCTTAATTACCCTAACTGGGAAACAGTAGAAAATGTAGGAACACAGGGAGCAATTCCCTATACCCTTCTTCCTACAAATTTCCTAATCTCTCTCCTCTACCTTTTCCACAACTCGGATGTCAAAAGAACTATTTGTAAAGGCCTTAAAGTGTAAAAACAAGAAACAAGATGAAAGAAGAAAAAAGAAATTGAACAGAAAAAAGTGGAGGGGAAATCTCTTGACAGTAGAGATGGGGGCTTAAAACAAGATAAACAAGAAAGAAGAAGAAAGCTTTGAAAAGTAAAATTAGCGGGATATTTGAGCTTTACACTATCTAATTTTTTTACGGATAGCAAATGAAGACAAATATACAGGATATCCTACTCAAAATAAAAAACTGCCTCCAAGAAAAAAAATCATAGAATGTGTGTAGAACAGCAGTTTACACAAGCTAAGTGTGTTACATCTGCTTCAAGCAAAATAGAAAACAAAACAAGGGTATTGGGTAGTGACCTTGGTCCCAGAATTGGTCTGAGATACAGGGCTCGGAAAAATAATTCTTTCTCTTGCAATTTGGCTAGTTGCAGGATCATCCTAAAAATTCATTTATTTTCATTTTCAAAATTAGCAGAAAAATTCAGACATCTATAAAACTATGCATCAATTTTCAATTTTCAAATTTCTAATTCTGTGTTTTCAATTTTATCCCTCAATTTGAAGATTTTGTAACCTAAAGTAACCAATCATAATTTATTTGAATGTCAATTTTGAAATAAACCTTCTGTTGCTTGATTCTGTGCTGAAAATGTCCATTTTGGTCAATTTGCAATAGTATGTTTTGCGTAAAAATGTACGTTTTGCGCAAATTACTCAAAACAAATTTAGAAAAACGTGCAAAACTTATTGCGAAAAAGTTTGCAAAAAAAATATCTGTGTGAAAAATACGCAAATTTTGCGCAAAAATAATATGGTAATTTCATGGAAACCCTAGGTGCCACATTCTTTGGCATTTACTTTCTCTGATCAAAAACTAATTTTAAGTTGTCCTTGCATAACCACGTTTATTTGGAGATGGAAATTAAAATAGTGTCTACTTTTTTCATTCCCAACATTTTTAATTTTGTTAAGAATGAGTTTCGAGGAAGAAGGCGAAAAGTGTTGAAAAAAAGACCTGTTCAAAGAACCCCGAATGCTTTAGAGGTTTCCAATGGTATAGAAAGTATGCCTTAAATTCCTTAAATCAAATAATTAAATCAACATTATCAAATTCAAAACAGCAACGAAATTTAAGTCTTTGTGACGTAATGTTTAGATCTTACTGTCAACGCCAAAACCACTGACCTCTCCAGGGAAACTGGTCAAATTATAAACGATGTTCAATGCCCAATTGCAGAAGGTAAAAATGTATATTGTATATTTAACTGCAGTGTACTTACACTATACTACACCCCCGAACAAGCGAATATATGTTTAATTGTTTAAGTTTTTTATCTGATTAGGGCTCCAAGTTTATCCTCATCCTGACTCTTGCAACCATTTTTACAAATGTACAAATGGTACTCTTACCCTAGAAACATGTGGAAATGGTCTTCTTTTCAACGAAGCAACCTCTCTGGCAGGTAAGAAACTTTTATAAAACGATTAAAGGTTTCCAGCAGTGAGTTTAAGTGACCCTTAACAAAAAGATGGTGACCGATTTACAACGGTACCCTTTAAACCTTTGAATGTTCATCAATTGGCCAGAGATCTCCCTCTCAAATATTGCTTCATGGATTTCTATAAAGTATGAACCCAACTCAGCTGACGTTTCTTATGCCCCGCAAAAATACCGATATATTTTTACTATAAAGCAATTTTTAAAATTCGTGGTTAAACATACATTTTCTCAGGCGCGTAGTGGAGGTTTAGCCTACGGGGTTGCACTTTTGCCGCGTGTGAGCTCACCAAAAACAATTTTGTGCACCCCCCTAAAGAACCGGTTTTAAGAAAAGATGAAGTTTAAAATCTATACTAATCTACTTAAAGGCTGACTATTAGTCATCTGAACATAATAACCAATCATTTTAAATGAAACCCCGCGAAAAAAATATTGTAAATAACTAAGGTACAAGAAAGAATTTGAGAAATATCATAAAATGGACAAATTGTGACATTGTCGATTGGTAAGAAAAGTAAAAATCTTAATATAGAGCCTGCCTCTGGCTCTAGCATGTGCATGTCTAAGGGGCCACAGGGTACTGCCCCCCTCCCCCTCCAATACGCGCCTGCATTTTCTTTGACTTTAAGGAAGTAAATATTAATATTTTTAAATATAAAACCGCTATGCAAACAAAGTGTTTAGCGATTACAAGCGTTTTTGTCGATTGATAAAAAAAAATCCTACATCCTGGATCAGTCAAAAGTTTTAAAAATGGTAATTCGGGGATGCCCCTCTTTAAATGGAAGATCACTTAAATTACGCTTAGAGTCCCTTTAAGTTACTAAAGCTTAATACCTACTACCTAGGTGCTGCTGAAAATCACTGTTCCTATATTTGGCAAACTGATTGTGGAGAACGAAAATCAGATACTACTCCTATATCCAGTCCAGGTATTAAAAACATAAAATTCGAATACAAATCATAATAGTATCTCAAAAACTCTTTTAAATATCAAAATCTATCGGTTAGTTCGTGCTAGGTTGTGAATATCAAAATGGAATTTTTCCAAGTGGCGACGGATGTTTTGCGTCTTACACAAAATGTGTGAATGGGAAGCCCTCGGAGGTAGGAACCAACTTATTATGAATAGCACAGAGGGATTGAAATTTGAAAAAAAGTTTGTCAAACTGCAAACCAAAAATATCCAGATAAAAGTTTAGCATACAGAATTACTTCCAATACAAGTATATAATTGATAGGTATACTGTCAACTGGGGTTAGCCTATGATCACCGAATTCATGCATGCAATTGGCCCGACCAACTTGTAGAATCTGCTGGATGTGACCCTTCCGCGGCATTTGGCGATTTTAGGTAGATTTTTTTAACTGATTCATAAGAGAAAACTTACAGTCTCTTATTAGCTTGCTCTGTGTTTCTGTATAACTATTTTAGGTGTCCAACGAATGAGGAACTTTCTCCGCTTGCAAGGCGTTTCTTTCCTTATCCTAGGTTTCCTATACCAAATGAACCTAAGGTATTAACATGATCTTAAAACAGAATAAAATATGTTAAAATAGTAATGGCACAAATGTACGAGCGAAATATCAACATTAAATTTGATTTGAACATATCAGTGCCTTTTTCTTAACCTCATGGCTTCGATTGCTGTTTACTCTATTCCGAGCTTTTCAACATTTACTCTATTCCCAGCTCTTAAACATTTACCCTGATCTCAGCCATTCTACATTTACTCTTTTCCCAGCTCTTCAATATTTACTCTATTCCCAGCTCTTCAACATTTACTCTATTCCCAGCTCTTCAATATTCAGTCTATTCCCAGCTCTTCAACATTTACTCTATTCCCAGCTCTTCAATATTTAAGCTATTCCTCGCTATTCAACATTTACTGTATTCCCAGCTCTTCAATATTTAAGCTCTAAACTGTTTAGTGTTTACACTGTTCCCCAGCTCTAAACTTTTTATTTTTTTCCCAGCCAGGCGTACTAGGGGGTGGGGGCGGGGCTGAAACCTTGCGTACCCCCGAGGCCCCCCTGGCACCCATGCTTAATATCTTAATCTCACGTACTTTTCTTGGCGCGCGCCAAAAGTTCATCAATATTGTACCTGACCCAACAGGCCACCTGGGATTTGTGCAATGTGCAGTAAGACCTAAAATTAATAATGCGATCAAAAAAATTCCAGTTTTCATTTACTCTATTCCCAGCTCTACATTATTTGTGTTGATGGAATGCCCCGACTCAACTCTTGTGGCGAAGAAACCATATTTGACGAGGTAGGAAATAATTAAATCTTTTATTTAAAATAAGGTGAAATTTTTGTATCCTTTATATGTTTATAGGTTCTATATAACATGATTAAATTCTAATATATATATTTAGGAGACTCTGGGATGTGCTCAAGAGTTTTAGATGTTTATACCACTATTTATTTTATTTATTATAGTAGTTAAATACATTCGGTTGGAAATATAAAAATGCTCCTAGTGATTGCTCTATCCGAAAACATATCTGAAAAACAACAAACTAATATAAGAACTTTTTTGCTTTTTTAAAAACTTTTAACACTGAATAAAATATTACTGAATTACTGAAATTAAATGTCACATAGTTGTTAGAGAGATAACATTGATAAAATTAAAATATGGAAACAATTTTTAAAAAGACAGTTGCCAAATTTTGGCTTTTTAAAATCAGCCTAATATATATAAACACGGCCTTAATAAATGCAAGCAAACAAATTAAAGGTTTGGTGTGGTTTATCAATTCATTTTTGTTACATTCTATCCTTCATTACTTGATTATTTTCAATACCTGTAGATAAAGGCGCAACCAAGGGCCAAAGACATGGGTATAAGATAACTAGTAATCCAGGAACTAAAAAACAGAAGTGTATCCACCAAGCAATGAGTGTTAAATAATGATTAAATTTACATACTTGGCCCAATATTTTGAAAATCCTTGGCCCAATATTTTGAAAATCCTTGACCCAATATTTTGAAAAGCGTTGGCCCAATATTTTGAAAATCCTTGGCCCAATATTTTGAAAATCCAATAATTTTTGGTGAAAAAGTATTATTATTATGTTTATTACAAATAAACGTAAGTATTTATTTAACCTTTCTTGAGTCTGGACTTGCCCGGTGCCCCAAGATTTTGGTCCCAGGTCAGCAGATCCAAATGTATCGTCCTCGTGAATATCTCCTTTATTATTTAAATGAAATGAGATAAATCATTGTGTTGATCTAGAAGTTTCAATGTCTTAGTTACAACGTCTTACAAGGTCTTACATTACGTTGTAATACTATTTTATGTTGTAATAAAACAAAGAGCCAATACAAATGCCAAAATTGAAAATCAAAAGAATTGCTAATTGTTTAATTTGATCAAAACAAATATTCATTAAAAAAGAATATAACAATTAAATTAACCTATATAATATTCACTGAGCATCTCACGAGCATCACTGGAATGTCCAACATCTTCAAAGCTTTCAGATGCATTTGTTCCAGCATTCTCTAGTAGTATTTCCTCCCCACCTGGATGCTAGACAAATTATTCGAATTTTGTCATTATTTAATACTATTTTTTCTTTGATATTTCTCGATTTGTTACATTTGCATATTGCAGGTGATATAACACTCGAAGGAAGTACAGAGTATTAAAAGTTGTCTAAAGGTTTATGGTAAACTCAAATTCCATTTAAAATACAATTCTGAGGTAGTTTGTAAATTTCTTTGTGGAAATATTTAAAGTTAAAATATTGCCGTTTTTATACAAAACATACATCATTCATTTTCTCAATTTTGTTTTCACGATAAATCAATGTACACATCAATAAAGGATGAAATAAAAGTTTGTGTTGTGAGACTTATCAAATAAAGCTCTTCTTTATAAAATAAAATAAATTTTACAATAAATAAAAATTCAAGTCCAAAAACCAAGTTAATTTGAAATGTGTCTAAATTTTTTTGAAAAGTACAAAAAAACAAATCAAACAATTTATTATAGGGTTCATGTTTATATCTCAAATATATTAAAATGTAATTATCAAAATGCAATTATCTTTTTTGGTACATAAAAAAAGCATTTTTTTCTCAATTTATTTTGCAGAAATTTATTGGAAAATATTTATTCTATTTTGTTACAAAATTTTATATAAATCTATTGACAATTTAAAGAAACCAAAAAATCAGAGAAAACTGTAAGTGCAAATCTGCACCAAATCAAAGGAAATAAAACATCTTAAATCTATTCACTGTTTACACCTTATGGTCAATTTTTCAATGTGACGAAAGATATGCGGAATTCCCAGTGAATGACAGCAATTAAAAAAGTGTCAAACTTGGGAATGTCCCAAATTACCACTCATTTGGGAAATTCACCAAATTCCTAATTTCTTGAAAATCATAATTGCTGTCAGGCCATGTAAACTCCTTTACCTAAATATACTCTTACCTCGTCAAGAAACTGTGTGATATCATAGACTTTATCATGAATAACCGTCCAAACCGACTACAAAATAACAAACCGACTACAAAAATAACAAACCAACTACAAAACAAAAATACAAAAATAACAAACTTTTGTGTGAAAAAAATTTATTTAAGTAAAGAATTGTCTTATATTTTTGTATTGTTATTTGCGGTTTATTTATTTATTTTATCAAAATGCGTTAAGTTTAGTGTTGACATGAATACGCTACATCTTCAAAGTTAAAGTGATGGAAATTCTTTTATTAACTTTGCTAAGAATTCATATTACATGTACTAGGCGAAATGTACCTAGTTGAAACAAAGCTATATTATGGTTTTTAAGAATATACATGCATACAAAAGTTTGCGATGAAAGCTTTGTACAAAAATTGTTACTGCCATGGGGGGGTCCAAAAATCGTTCTCTAGGAATATACCGGAAAACACTGCCTTATTAAGTATTAACCTTATTTGCTCCTTTCAGTATGTTATGTTTCTTCACCTCCTCCATCTTATAAATTTTAACAGCGTCAACCGTCATTTCTCTGAAGAAAAAAACTTTTTGAAATTTCACTTTTTGAAGAAAAGAGATAAACTATACGACAGAGCCTTTTTTGTTTTTCATTCATCAATAGATAAAATAAGTGAAGTGTAGGGAAAATGTATTTTCTAATATAAATGAGTCATGGTTTGGTAAAGAAGGAAACATAAAGACAGAACAGTTGTCTAGATGTCGCATCCTTTCTTGGTAACCCTGTAGAAAATAAATGGTTTTTTATGAACAAAATATTAAAATATTACAAAATCAAAGTTTTATGAAAGATGAAAACTGGTCAATCGTGTATCGAGCTCACCGAGATTCCCATTTTTCCTTTTAATTTTGTTTTACACACTTTAAGTTAATAATAAACAGTCAGGCAGCCATACAGATAACCCAATGACTGATTCCAGCATTACTTATTATTAGTGCCTAATGTATATCTAACTTATTTTAAAATGCCCGTCTTGTCCTGAAATTTAAAGCCACAGTGTTGCATGAAGAGATAACAAGCATGAAAGATAAAACGTTCTTAAATAAAAACAAATAATAAAGTGCACACATAATATCAAATAGAAGAAATAGCAATCTGTATAACTTCAATAATTTCCAAATTTTCCATAATCCTTTATATTTTATGAATAAATATGACAAATGACAATATTTTTTAAGTATTATTGTAAATAACATAAATAGTTAACCATATTTTTTTCCTCTGGCTCTATGGCTAGGAAATTTTTAAATTCCCATTTGGAAAATTGTATACTATATTTTCTAAAAGATGTTAAAATTTTTCCCTGCCCCAAAAACCAAAGGATAATATGGCACATTACACTTTGCACATTGCACAATGCTAATTGTATATTTTTTAAATCTAAAATCACTAGGTTTCGACATCGATTATGCAAGAATAAAAATTACTCAATTTTTCCGCTGTTTTGAATGATCACATTTTTGGACAAAAACGAAAACCAAAAATTCAATCGTTTACACATTTTTCAGAAGAGTATTCAAATATTAATAGCGAGAACTTCCACTGGGCCTTGGGAATCCCTGATCCTTTAGGGTCAACCTGTCAACTTCAATTTCAACGATTGGGTTTAACAATTTGGGGTTGGTTTAAAGTTAAGTTTACCAACTAAAATTCCAAATTTTTTATAAACCTTTTTATTTTATGAATGAATATTACCAATGGCAGTAATTTTATATTGTAGTTTTTAAAAATAAAAAGTCACTTGGAAAATTTTATTTCAATTTCCATTTACTTTGAAAAATATTAAATTAGTTATTTGTAAAGAATTTGAGTTATCATATCGGCCACCGGAGGTCGCTGCGTTTTTACTTTTAAAAAGAAATTGTAGTAAAAAAATTCAAAATCGTCCATACGCATTGACGATTTAATATTGGAGAAATCATCGTGAGGCCTAACAAAAAAATCTTTCAAAAAACTAAATATGATACATCATCTTCTTGGAAATGTCATGCTGAATTCAGATTCAAATTCTGAAACCTTTTATAAAAATATTAAAATTTAAAGAAGTTATGGCTAAATTCCGGTTTTTTAACTTGTTAATGTTTTAATGAGTTTTTTAGCTCTAACATCACTCGATTTTTATTTTTTTAAACGCTTTTCAAATTTTAATTCAGCATAAATTTCCAAGAAAATTATGTATAACATGAAAATTAAAGAAAAAATGCTTTTCATGTCCTTACGGTGAATTCTCCGATATTAAATCGTCAAATCGCAACTCTTTGGACGATGTTGAGATCTTTTTTGATTGCAATATCTTCTTTAAGTGAAAACGCAGCGACCTTCGGCGGCCGGTTGGCTCAATTCCAATATTGGTCACTTCTAACAATTGTACTTTTTTACTCATTTTTTTTTGTAAATTTAATTGTTTCCTTTTTCCTTTTTTTGTTTATACAATTTGTCTTAACGAACGAAAGTTTTCGTAAACAATGGCGTCGTTAAGAAAAGTTAACGAACTAAGACACGAACGATTTTAAATTGTTTACAATCGTTCGCATTTTAATGATTAGTCAGACTATTTTTTTTGGAAACCCGGAGCCTAAGTCGACCTGACATTTTACTGAACGACCGATTTTACTCAACAAACGATTTTATTTAATTGAATGGTTACTTAAAAAAGAATCGAAATAGCTGAAAAAGTCAACGACATGATTCAGAAAACGAAAGAATTCAAATTAGTATACTGAACGACTGAAAAAAAACGAACGACATGTGTTGTTAACAAACGATAAACAAACGAATAAAAAAAGAACGCGTCCATTTCTATTCGCAATAGTACACTATTAACTAGATCTACAGGATAAAAGATCTAAAAATACAGATCAACTAATAATTTAATTACTCGTTTACACTGTTACTGTCACTGCAGCGTGCTTCTGACAAGCTTACTTTATACTGCCAACGCCTGAATAAGCTAAAAACAATTATAGTAAATACAACACGCGCGAAAATGTGTGTTTTTAAAAATTTTATACAAGTGTACAAGAAAAAAATGCTAATTATTTTTATTATCAAAGAAAAATTAGGATGCCACAATTTGTGTGCACTCTAAAAAATGCAATTTTGGTCTTTAGCATCAGGCATCAAAGTTCTTCTTTCATATTTCAAATGTCTTCTTTCATTACTCAAATTTTGTTAAATATTTTTCAAAATTACAATCTAACAAAACTTGTTAATTGCTTACACATTGTTCTCTCAGCATGTGTCAAACTTTGTTATATGACATCTTTCTTTTGTCATGTGACAGTTTTCTTTCATTGTAATTAGCCGATATTTTAGTTTGTGTAAGATTAAACAAATTTTGATTTATGATCAATCAAACGTTGAACCATCTGCCGGGCTGGCACGGCTCGCACGGCTGGCTGGAGGGGGAGAATCAGCTGATTTTCTAATTAGTGACAGGACAGTTTAGTCTGTTAGCCGACAGCGCTTATACCTACGTTAATTCGATCTGGAAATTTGGAGATATCAAGAAGATTTAAAGGGAAACCTCCAAGAAATTGGAAGAACAAAATTAAAACTTGTTTAAGCCTTTGTACACTCTCTCAAACTAATGCTTGCATTTTCAATGCTTTGCTTGAAAGAGAGTATAAATGCAAAACCAAATCTTCCATAATTCAGACTGAAGAATCTACTTCTACAAGAATCAAATGTTGTCTAAATTGGTGATTAATTGATGTCCAGTTCTTTAAGCTTTGAATTGTAATAATTAGTGTATTATAAACAGCAAAACTTATGCTGCATGAGTGCATGTTACTTTAAAGATTTGTATTATAGATCTTATATTTCTGCCTCATGTATTTGTATTATAAACAAATGTGATAAACTTTAAACTTATGATGTTTAAATTTTTGTTTTTATCAATTGCATTTTTGCAGATTTATGCGTTTTAAAAACTAATAAATTGTATAAAAAAATTGAAATTTTACATAACAGCCGGATATTTATGTAACAAACAATTTGAATCTAGTTAAAACAAATATTGAGAGAATAGGTGGCGCCACCTGTAACAACCTCTTTTGACGGGTCAAGATTCAAAGCTGAATAATCATATAACAAATGATTACATAGTTGCGCAGTAAGTTGAAGGGACATCCAACAAATTTTGACGCATGCTAATTTTTAAACCGCGCAGTGTCGCTGGTTGAATCGACATGAAACAAACTTTGTGAGATGATAATTATATGGAGGCGCGGCACAGCGAGCGTACAAACACCGGTTGATAGATCATGTAACAAACTTTAAATTAAGGCGACTGAAAATACATTCAACAAAATTTGACGAATGATTCTACTAAGGTGTATTTGAGTCCGGTGCTCCAACAAATTTTGTTAGATGAAAATTTGAGATTTCTTAGAGTGTGTGTTATATTTCTCCTTAGGTAATGTACACATTGAACTCCTGCTGTTTTGCTTACAAAGAACACTGTTCAGTGTTCAGTAAGCAATGTACACAATGAACTTCGTAATATTTTGCAATTCAGAAAAATGTATGTCACGTCATGAAATACTTATTCCCACTGGGATCGAGATTCAGAGTTTTTGAATTTTGTAGATTGAATTTTTTCTTGGAGTTTTGAAAGTTTTACAAACAACCGCTCGATGGAAATATATGCGTCGGATTCATGAACTTTTTTGCTTTGAGGTTGGAGATTTATAACATAGAGAATAGAATGTATAGAGAGGAATTAAAAGAATCTCTCGGTATGAATTTTTTCAGTCCCTTTCAGCCTGAAAGGAAGTTCAAAGTGTACAAATCATGTAAATGTTCACAAATTATATGCAGTAGAGTACATTAATACAGTATGTTCCCTAGACTATTCATTTCAATTTCGAATTTTTTAAACTGTTAAATAAACTTTATATTGAATTAGTTGAATTAAAACATCATTTGATTTATAGTTAAAACGGAAAATCATCGTTTGTAAAGTGGAGTCTATGTGAAATGATCATTGGTCAATTATGAAACCAGCCTACTTCATAATTTGGTTTTCTTTTAACAATAATTTTAGATTTTCTATATAATGATATTCCAGGGCCCAATAGGTTATATAGCATAAATATGTGAAGTACACCTGCAGTATGGAAACTGTACAACAAAATGGCCGTTTTACACTTTTTTCCATTAAATTCCTCTCTATATATTCTATTCTCTATGGATTTAAAACACTGATAGAACTTGAAAAAACATTATTGCATCAGCTATGAAGCCTTTTGGGCCAATTGTAGAGGTCATACTATAAATACGCTACACTATAAAAACGCTACACTAAAAAAGCGCTACACTAAAAAAACGCTACACTAAAAAAACGCTACAATAAAAAAACGCTACACTAAAAAAACGCTACATAGGCTATATTCGCTACAAGTTTATTGCCTGTTTCTGTGTGTGTATAAGTTTATAATTTATAGAGATATATATTCGCTATATACTATTCAAAAATAAAATATATATAAAATATATATAATTTATATGTTGTTTTAATTTGGTCACCACCTTAAAATTTTCGTAACCATGTACATGGTAACAAGTTCAAGGTATTGTTCAGTATAGTACTACTCCCCTCCCCCCTCAATCCGTATATACAGGTTGGCGGTCACCACACAGTATACACCTTTTCTTTATACACATTGTTTACTTCAGTAATTATTCAGCAACCATGTTAAGAGTTTTGATTCTGTTAGTTTATTTTACATATATTGTAAAAACTTTACCAAGTCTTCCGGAACATGAGTATATATCTCTTAAATTATAAACTTATGATTTATTTTCAATTTACGACTATGTGAATTTTAAAATCTTATACACAAACAGAAACAGGCAATAAACTTGTAGCGAATATAGCCTATGTATCGTTTTTTTAGTGTAGCGTTTTTTTAGTGTAGCGTTTTTTTAGGGTAGCGTTTTTTTAGGGTAGCGTTTTTATAGATACACCATTGTAGATTATACAATCAATCTTATTTTGTAATGCTTTTACAACTTTAAATATAAATATATGTCAATTCCTGTGAAGTATGCAGTGTGCACATTAGAATTTGAAATAAAGAAAAGAACTTAAGAAATCTATTTAAAGGGGATGTTACGTAGTTTTATGGAAACCCTCCATTGATAGAATGGCATGTTTGATTCACAACGGTACCATTAAAACGTTAATCTGATCAATAATGTGGAAGATAGTGTCGTTTTTCTAGCTTGCAAAGTGATTCTGTTAATTTATCCTTTGTTTCTTAAGCAATAAATTAGGGTACCGTTGTGAATCAGACATTCATTTTTGCACGTAGTCACCTTAAAGAAAAAGAGTCACAACAGTTTTCAGTTTCCAGTCCGTTACAGGCTATAAGTGAGTTTTAGGAAACGACGATGCAGATTGTAGGAATCCTTTTTTTTGTTGACTCTCTACAAATAGGTTATTATACCTTACTTTTTGCAAAGTCCATTCTTAATGCAGAATAATGTATTCAACCCACAGATAGTTTAGATCGTCTCACATCCAGCATTGGTTTTTCTTCATTCTAAGTACGTCTGGTGTATCAATTTGTATAATTATATAAAAATTAATAGCGGGTTAAAAAAAATTATAATAAAATATGCTTTTCAATGTGTGCAGTGGCTGTTGCTATATTTATATATATATATATATATTAACGGAGGCCAGGCTAGGTTTCTAGTATCCAAACCATCCAGTATGGTGTGGAGGACAGAAGTACTCGGACACAGTAGGATACCCTGGAGCAATGTTGTAAGATATATCTTCGCTTGATCAGGATTCAAGTCCGTCAGCCCACAGCTAGAGGTTGACCTACGTGTATAGCTGTGTCGCTGTGTACCTGGATGTTTTTTTTCTTCTTCTAAATAATTGTTAGCGGTAGAGAACCGAGCATGCCTCCAATACGGTTCTAATCTTTAATCTTTTTCCAACCTGAATTATTTAGATTAGTATTTAGATTTTCTCTAAAGGAATTGAGTCTTTGGAACAAAATCAAATATTTAAACCTCAATATCTTTAGAACCCGATGTTGTAAACATTTGATATTTCAAACTCAGATATTTGATTTAACAGAATTCATAGTTTGAAATATCTAAGGTCTGCAACATTTGGTTCCAAAGATAAAGTGATTATAAAATCAGAGTTTGTGGCAAAAACTCAATTCCTTTAACAATTTCAGCTCCAGCTCCAGCTGTTACATTAACATCATTTATATCTTAAAATAGAAAATGTTTATGTTTAAGTAGTTTAGACAACAGCCTACCAGACTTGGCTCTGTTTTCACTAAAATCAAACAATTATAATTTGCAAATGAATGGTCTAATTTCTATAAATTAATAGTGGGTAAATGAATATGTTTATCTGAAAATTGGGAAAACATAAGAAGGAAAATTAAAACTATATATCTTTATAATCTATATATAAATTTAGCTTTTTGCTCACATATATATATATATGTAATCTAGTACATATATATAGTCTAGTACAGTATATATATATATGTATGAGCAAAGAGCTTTATTATGTACTAGGCCTCACACAAAATTTGAGCAAGATCAGTTCAGCCATTTTGACGTTTATTGGATTCAAATAACAAACACCCATACATGCATAAAAAATACATATATATGCATTTAAACAAAATTCTGTTTTATAAACCTATTTGAGCCAAAGTAAATCTTATTCTTGGGGTAATTGATTATTTGTGATTTATTTTGCACCCTTTGTACTGTTCGAATTAAAGCATAAGTAAATAAATGTGTATGGCCATACCCTTGTTTTTTGCATGGCATAGAGGAAATGAACATAATTAACTAAAGAAGGGGGCTGGAGCCTGGAAGGCTAGTGTTAAAAACAATTCTTAGTCTTAGTCACATTTTCTTCATTTTTTCGCCCTCGCCATCTTCAAACTCTCTTAAGGCAATATCATCTTATTACATTATCGAATCCTTGAGATTAAACCCCTTTTTTGTCTCTGCTATTTAATTCTTGTTTGCTGGATTAATTATTGTATATAAAGTCCTTTAACGTGGATTTAACGGTTCTGTCAATATTCCAGAAAACCGTGACTTTCGCTAACAATTTTTCCTATTAAACATAATTTTTTCCCCCTTTTTATTAAATACTTTTTTGCCGGCAAATACATTTTTAATGACGAGTCTAAAACAAACAAATCCGTGAGTTTAAAGATTGTTTAATTATAAACCAAAACGCGCAAGATTTCAAATGGAAGAAACCGAATGACTCTAACTCTGGTTAGTCCTAAGTGCTTTAAGCCATTTTCGACGGAGTTTGAATTAGATATCAAAATATGACTTTAAAATGTCGATGCGTTAGTTTTACTTGAAGGGCATAGTAAAATATTGATTTTTCGTAAATCAAGTAAAAAGCAGTTTTCTTTTAATCACAGTTCTTTATGTCCATTTTCTATAGAAAATTGTTGTGGCTGGCCTTCCATACTACCGAACCCGGCATGCAATTAAAATTTTTCTTCAAACAACTCTTATTTTTGTTTTGTTTTCTTTCTATTTTTTGTGTATGTTTCTACAGTAGCTTTTTTCTTACTATTTAAGAAATACATTTTCATTTATTAAAGGGAGTGACCGGCTATGTAAGGTAGTTGAACTGAGTATGCAGTGTTGCGGAAAGCTTCTTTCGGATTCATTTGATACATATGAAACTTTTCTAAGATCTGTAAATCCTGAGTTTGAGTGCAAATTCGATGTTCAAAACTCCTACTTTGGGGGTGGATACGTTTCCAGAATTAGTTTTTTTAAAACTATTAAATAATTTGCGCTCAAACTCAGGATTTACAGATCTTTAAAAAGTTTAATATGTCTCAAATGAATCCGAAAGAGGTTTTCCACAACACTGCATACTCAGTTCAACTACCTTACATAGCCGGTCACTCCCTTTAAGGTCTTTTTAAAACGTTTGCTTAAGATAACTAATTATTTGATAAAACTGGAAGGATAAGACATATGTTAGGAAATAATACGCATGTCTTTTGATATTTGGTGTTCGTCTTGGCAAATTCAGATTAGAATAGAAAAAAAATTAAGTAAAAAAAAACAAAAAATGCTAAATTACGAGAAATGGTTTAATACCAAAAAATTATTATTGTAGTATGCCAGATCTATCCGATGTAGGGCCTCCTGCAACAGGGCCTGGACTTCCTCAACGGGTTGCAGAGGCCCCTCCTCCTACAGTTAGGATTTTTATAGAGCACAGGTAAACAACACGCACAAGTTCTAATCTCGATCCATGAATACTGAATAGGTCAATAAATTATACTACAGTGAAACCCTTAATAACGGATACATCGGAAGAATTTATCAAATGTCGTCTTGACTGTTTTTCAATGAGTTTTATACTATATTTCGTAAAGGAATTGAGTTTTTGCCACAACCTCAAATTTTCTAATTTCTATATCTCTGCAACCAGTGGGTTTAACCCTTTCATATTTCAAACTTAGATTATTTGATCTAACAGAATTAATAGTTTGAAATATCTAAGGTCTACGACATTGGGTTGCCAAGATATAGGGATAAGAATATTTGAGTTTGTGGCAAAAACTCAGTTCCTTTCTGTATTTGCGAAAATAAATAAACAGTCATGAATATGCGGGAACAGTTTTAAAGAGTTCCATATAATCATTTAATTAAAAAACGAAATATCTGCAACATTTCATTATCAGAAAGTGAAGAATACGACATTTGATGAATTCTTTCGATGTATTCGTTATTAAGGGTTTCACTGTATGTTTTAATGGTCTTTTAAAAAAGTTAACGAAATTTAATCGTTTTAACGAATTTAATACTTTTTATAAATTAAAATGATGAATTTTAGAGACGGTTGTGAAGTGGTTGACTCACTTATCAGGAAAGTTAGATATTTAAACCCCAGAGGGTCAAATATAAAATCATGATATGTGTTTTATCAGATAAGATAACACGTATATTCAGTCAGTATCAAATACTAACTTATTGTTTAAAGAGAAATTCTCTTAGTTACACCGGAAGCCGATATATCAACAGAGGTTGGCTCTGACGGTAAGTATTACAGGTGTTTTAACTGGTTTAACTAATAGTTAAATAGGACCATTTTTAAGTTAATAATTTAAGCTCGGAATTATTTAACAAATGGCAAAAATTCATTGGTACATTATGATAGTTCTAAATGCAAAATAACAAGCTTTGTATCATGTGATTTTGTAAAAAAAAAGTATTAAAGTTTATAACCTAATTGTTATCTTCTTGCGCCCTTCACTTTATTTTATTTCATTGTTAATGCTATTGATATCAGTATCACCCAACTCCTTAGTTTTCACTAATAAAATAAAGGTTTTAGTGATTGTTAGTTTAAAAAAATTGGTTTACTCCTTTTCGGAAACCTTATCAAAAAAACGTTCTCTTACTAGATAGATTTAAACTTAGTAAATTGTAATTGTTCTTTATTGACTGAATTCACAAAAAAACGCGGATTTATTTTTGATATGAAAAGAATAGTTCATAATTTAATTAACTCTTTTCTTGCAAGAATATGGAAATTAAAAAAGTGTTTTTTTTTCAGATGCCTTTGAAATTAAGATTAACGATAAGCTGATGTTTTCTAAGGTAAAAATGTGTGTGCATACATATATATTTATTCTACTGATGTGACTTTGTGAAAACATCTTTATAAGCTATGTATGCTCTTCTGCTGCAGTATAGTTTTATACATATTTTTTGTACTAACGTTTTGTTAATATCAGAAATAAGTATTACTGCAGAAAAATACATGATTTGTTTGCATTTCTGCATACTATTTCCATTTTCTGGAAATCAAATCACGTAAAATTTAAGCAAATTTAAAAAATTTTAAGAAATTCTACAGAACAACTTTGGAGAAGAGCAAAAAACTTTAAATTTTTGCAACCAGATAAATTTGTTACTTTATATTTGCAACCAAATAAATTTTCTATTTTATATTTGGGTTGGTCGTAAAATCAAAATTAGATGAGCTACGAGGTCACATAATCTTACAAGTAATTCTTCATGAATTTGACCTTTCAATTATTTGTAGATTGGATGCTTCTTATGCCTTTACCTTGTTACATTTCTTAGAGATCATACTGTATTATACTATTTTCTAAACACAAAATTATTCTATTAAACAATTCAAATAGAAAAAGCTTGGTACCTACCCATCAAATGAGGAAATAGCGGAGATTGTTAAGTGGGGAAACAAGGTAAAAAATGATATTATTGAACATTTCTAATAATTTGTTTTAATTACAGCCATTTCACTTTACTTCACCTTAACCTCGATTGAAATTTTAAACCATGATGGTTTGTATTTTCTAAAGTTAATTATTGGTATTTATGTACATGGTGTCCCAATTAACATGGGAATTCAGAGACGACTTGAAAGCCGTCGTTTATTTCTGATATTTAATGCATGACAAAGAAATTATCAAAACAAGGCTGTACGTCTGACGAGCTTTCTCATATAGTGGTCTTCCTTCCTTGGATCTTAAAAACTGAAATTTGTTCAAACTATGCAATATCTCCGTCAATTTTCAAGATAGAAAAATAGTAGACCACATTTTGAAAATCTTAAGACCAAGCGTTGTCGATATTAGATGTTTTTATTGAATCGTAATTATTGCGGTCATGAAAAAATGCCGCATGGATGGAAGACGATATAAAGGTCGTCACTTAATTCCCATGTATAAGGCACAAAATAAAATATAAACGCTGTAAATAAGTTAGTATATTGCAAGTCCATATTTTGGGTAAGGTCAGTTATATTGTGTAATTTCCAGTAGAACACTACAGCAATTAAATGTAAATAAAAGTAAATTTGTTAAGGGAAAATCTTTTCTGCACTTGAATTTGTGCAGTGTTGCCGAGGGCGGGGAACCAAGAATGGTTATAACAGGTAAAACTAATTTTTACGTGTGGTTTTCGGTACTTATGAATTACAATTAATATGTTAATTTTTCCAATTTGTATATTTCAGACCGAAAAAACACACCTTTGCCGAAGAGAGTTATTATGTCGTGCACAATATCATGATCGATAAAATTGTTATAATTTATTTCATCGACATTTGCTTGTTGAAGATAAACCATTTACTTTAATAAATATAAAATTAATAATTAAGAATTTTTAATGTATATTACTATATTATAAAGATTTATTCACACACAAAGATATAAATACATATATAAATGGTGTAGTTTAAATTTGTTTAAATTAATTTTTGAAAATATGCAAAATTATGCACAAATAGACGACATTGATCATTACTCATTACATAACATATTTATCATTTCAGTTATTACGTAATCATCGGATTACGTATATAATATAATAATAAAATTAAAAACTAAGAATTTTAAATGTTTATTACCTTGTTATTTTGAAAATATTTTTGTTAAAATGAGTTTCGTTCATTTACAATATGTCACAATAAACATGATTATTAGTGAAAAGTCTTTGTTTTCAACTTCATTTGCAAAAATGTGCATTACAATGACGAAGAATTGAAATTATAGTAAAATCATCTCGTCAATAACGAAAAAAGGAAGTTATTCAAAAAGATTGTAGATAAACCATTTACAGTTACTTCATTCTTTAATCGGAAAACAATTAATTAATTTAACAAGCATATCTATCAAATTTGTACAATATTTCTTAAATTTCTTTAACAGAATATAATTTAAATTGGGGTAACTGAAATTCTGACAAATTTTACAAGAGAAAAATTTCAGTACATGTGGCACAGCATTTTAATCAAGAAATATTAAATATATATTCATTTCAAAATTAATTTATTTACATAACTTCACAAGATGGAGTATTTGATTGCCGATTTTTAAATTTTGTGAATAATAAATTTTTTTTACATTTAAATAAAATGTGAACTACGGAAGGCATTGCTAATCTGTTTTCACATTATGATTATATCTGTTTAAAGATTAATATTCTCAGCAACTCTACTTACAGGTTTGTATCTAAAAATAATAATTATAGTATGAACTTATAAATATAACCATAAAATAATGATAAAAGTTAATATTTTGTATTTTTTTAAATAACTTTTATTTTTCATTTTTTAAAATATTTTTTTATTTTTTTATTACAGTCTACAGAGCCATTAAAATTTATCTACCAGATATAATTAATACTTTTAGTGCTTTTAAGATAGATCTTTTAGCAGTCGAGAAAATTTTTAAATATATCGGGAAGTTAGTGAACTTGTTATTTGTAGGAATATTACCTTGTTTCCTCCAGCTGATTAATTGCTGGGCAACAGCATTTATAGCAACACGAACTAGAAATGTGCAGAACGACGAGGGGGACTAAAAACTGAATCAGATTCAATCCCATTCTTACACACAGTAGTGATACAGAGACCAGTTCGTGCATATTCTAGGATATCAACAAGGATTATTAAAACATTTAAGAGGACTTTTATAATACTTTTATTGATTAAGGAGAAATGTAGATATTATGTATTTTGAATTTCTCAAAAAATATTACCTTTACATTCATGTCCAGTGCGCTTTTAGAATTCAATTGTGATAGCCAAAGCATAAGACATTCCTGATCGATAACAAAAAATTAAGTCTTCTGATAATAGCTTTTTTCTCACGTTTTGCTAAATTTAGTGTACATTTATAGCGGAGAATTTTAAATCTATAAAACAATCTGAATACCAAGTTAGAATTCGAGGTACGTTCTTAGTCAACGATCAGTAGACATTAAAAGTGTATCATCTATGCTGATTTATTTATGTAGAATTTGGATGTAATTTATCCTTCCCTTTGAATCGCATTCTTTCCTAAATCTGTACTTTGACAGTTTTGGTAAAATAATATGAATTTGATTAATAATTCATTTGGTATTCTGCCAAAAGAATAAGCTCCATCAGATTAGAGAACTTTTTACGCGCGTATTTAAAAAAAGTGTTTTGAGAGTAAACCGTATACAGTATTATGAAAATAAAAAACACATATGATTATAACTGTATACATTAAATGAGTTATTACCTGAATGAGAAAAATGAAAATACTGATGTTAGTAATCACTACCAGACCAATATTAGTCTTCACTCCTACTAACTCAGATGATGGCATGGGTCGGGAGCTTATTGATATCTTAACACAAATTTTTCATTTTTTATTACAAAAAAAGCGTCAATTGATAATAACATTAATTCATTAATAATTTGGATAGAAAACCGCACTGAAAAAATGTACAACTTAGAAAAATAATTACAAATTAAATTAACCGACGTTAACACTATCTTACCTTGCAATAGTTAATTGTTCCGAATATTGTGAGAATGAAGAGAGGTAGAATAATAAACGTACCAACTTCTAACCCAAACCAAACCTCATTGTCAAGATAAAACTTTGAAGTCGGCCGCTGAAATACGAAAGGTTGTTAATTTTTTTGGTTTGTTTTTAGATGAATTTTTATATTGAACAATGACATGTAAACAGAAATCTTAGAATCCATGAGAAAAATGTTAATTTTCCAAGCACTCGTTTTTAAAAACTTTTTAACGTTTGTTATGTTGAGTACACTACCTGGGCAGAAAGTATCTGGAAGGCCGCAAGAAGCGTAGGGCAGGATAATGCAAGGAGAGTAGATATTAACTGAAAACATGTATTCACTGCTCCAGTTATTGTAGAGTACAAAAACCTGAAACATAATCATAGATTTTTCGAGGAACTCTTTTCAAATTAAAGATAGATTTTAATGAAAACTTATTTTATCTACGATAAAAATATTTAGGTTTTACTCCACAAAACCCTTTTTTTTGAAAAATCTCTAGTTCTGCAGAATAACAAAACAATCTTTAACCGTTTACATAAAATACACTCTAGCAGATGTAACTATATTTTGACCATTGAAATTAGATAGTATAAAGAAAATTTAGAATTCGTTCTCTTAATTCCCATGTTTATTAGGCCCCCCTTTTCCATATGCACAATGCACACATATTTGAAGACCATTTTGCGGGGATCATTGATCATGCATCTGCCGACCAACAATGATCAACTTATTGTATTTTCATCAGGGAATAAGAATAAAGGGAAGGGAAATGGCGCTGGTCTGGCATGATAAAGCCAGTCGCACTGCTTTGCAGTCGAGTTCGTTATCCCACACGAACACTCTTTTGGTACAGACAACATGAATACAGTAAAGGGAATTGCAGAACAATGTCGTCAATTATAATTAAGCTTGAATCACGAGTAGTTTATTGTAAACTTTAATCAAATTATATTCTTTGCATGAAAATTTGGCTTATAGTGTTGACTTAAATATTTAAATAATATGTTACATGCATATTAAACTTATTTTGAAGTAAACAATTAACAATAAACAAATGTACTCTCCTAGACTGTACAAATACCAGATTCTTATGAACTGTATATACCTTCAGTACAGGGGCGTAGCCCCTGTGTTCCCTCTAGACATGCACCCCCCTCGGCCCCCCCCCTAGAGCCAGAGGCAGGCTCTAATTTATTAAACTTACATATGTATTCAGATTTTTTATTTTTCTCATCAATCGACAATGTCACAATTTGTTCATTTTAAGATATTTCTCAAACTATTTCTTGTACCTTAATCTTATTTACATTTTTTTCGCGGGGATTCATTTAAAATCCATTTCAGTCACTCAGAACAAGATGATTTACGCCGAGTTTTATTAAGCTTTTAATAATACTGTCTCTGGTGTAATCTACAGTGCAGCGCAACTAAGGGGGGGGGGGCGAACCGAGTTTCGACCCCCCTCTCGCCCCCTCCCTCGCTTGGCTCCAGCATGATCATGATTGTGAATCATTTTTTATCAAATTTTTTCAATTAAGAAAAAATACCGAAGTTTTTCTTTGGTGCTTCGCGCATCATTTCTAATAGAATTTCTTACTATTTTCTCGTTTTTGACTTAAAGAAAGTCAGTCTTAATTTATCCTCTAAAAAATGTATAATGTTACTTTGCATGAGTATTACAATGCATATACCATTTAAGGTTACACAAAACCTGACAATCTAAGAAGAATAACAATATAGAATTGTGAAGTAAATATGACTAGGCCAGGGACTCAGAGACACTAAGAAATACATGAGAAGAAGCTAAAAGAACAGATTTTTTTGGCGCTTCGCGCACATTTCTCAATAAATAACTCATCCAGATCCAGGTTAGGGTTTAACAACCTATTGATAGTATACATTATAAAGCTGTTTGAAGTATATTTTTGTAAACACAAGAAACAATAATTTGGTATATTATTGAGCACTGACAACATTTTAAAAATGCTGTTTTATATGTTGTTTATGATTGGTAATTATGGTCAGGGTGGTTTAATATAGATTTTGAGCTTTATTTTTTTTCCTAATATGGGTTTTATAAAGCGGGTGCACATCGAGCGGGGGAAGGCAGGCGGCCATGAGCCACCACTATTTCCCCTTCCGTGCCACATATTAGCTTTTTTCTCTTCCGGCAGCCATGAGCCACCACTATTTCCCCTTCCGTACCACCGCATTTGACTCTTCCGGGAAAAACTACTTTTTTAAATGGTATATTTAGGGCCTTTAAAGTGTGATTTTTAAAAATCCAGCCGCATCACGCAATAAATTTATATTTAGATCTTTATATTTCAGTGTTAATATGTAATAAGGATGATTCCTCTTAATGTAAACTGTAAAACTTTTTTCTTCCAAATCTAAATTCTGATATGCCTAAAAAATGGCTTATTTTTAAGAGCAATATCAATTTTAAAAATGACGCACCATAAAATACACTTTAGTTTTGAAGGGAACCCTTGTGTGAAAATGTGCAATGTGTTAAGAGAAAATTGCAAAGGAAACTTTTTTTTTTACAAAATCTGTAACGCCTAAGTAATGACAGTAAATATTGTGATTTTAATAATTTTTATTCTTCAGACTACCCTGAACAATTTGTCTCTGCTCCCACAATACGAAAATTGACTTAGTTTACCTGCTAAAATCTAAATTAAACTACCTCCTTTTTTTACAATTTCAAACAACTTCTTTAAATGTCGTCTTCTTAATGTGATGGCTATTTATCTATTAGGCAAAGAAAGAAACATGTTTACGATTGCAGAGAATAATTAATATTACTTCTCTGCAGTTCCTGCAGTAGTTTCTGAAGTCTCATTCTTTGTGGGCAACCCTGAATGTCTGAACCTTACAATATATTTAAACCTATCAAATTTTG